TTCAACGCAACTCAGGTTCCCGTTTCAAAACCAAGCCATACAGTTTGGCTTCATCGCCTTACATTGTCAGGCTTCCTAGATTAAATTAATCAGGTCACATTCAAGGTACTAGGGCGCGCCGTTTCTCCAGGGGTCAAAAGACGGTCTGAACTGGCCTACGCCTCAAAACCCTGCAAGGATTCCCAGCTGGGAGGCCCTGCCAGGGCCCAAAGACGGAAAACTGCTCTCGGGTTTGCAAAGGTCGTGGCAGCGCAAAAGAAGACCCCAAGGAGCACTCCCTTAAAGTTGCCCTTGAAAACCCAAGGGTCAAAGGGTCACTTGTCCCAATGTGCCGCAACTTCGCAAAACAGCTTCCCACAAGGCAGCTGTAGTGGACCCATGGCCCATCTTAACGCTAAGCTATGCGGGGTGTGCCAGTGCCTGCCGGGTGGGCCACAGCCCGAAACCGCTCATTTGCCGTCCCGTGGGCTGGCTCTGGCAACCGCTCTGAAAATCGCCGGCACTGGCCACACCCCGTGGGTCGTTCCTCCCAGCACCATATTGATCATACACCAAAGGTCTGCGGCCTTCGCTCCAAAATCACGGCACAAGGTATTTCACGAAACAAGCAAACTTGCGGCGGCACACAGAATTGAAAAAGTTGCCTCACCACGTGGGCATATTCCCATCTTCCAACGGTCTGACAGCCTGCGCGCCCTTTGGCTGCGTTTCTTGCAACACGCAATGGAACCAGTTGCCACATTCAATGAATTTGTTCATAGAATTCCTGGGGCAGATAATTGAATTTGGGGGGACAAATAAGCTGCATAAGGTTCTGGAGGATGAGATTGACAGCATTCGAGACATGCCAACTGTTTGTTTTTAAGATCATTCGACATCTCAGCCAAGCTCTGTTGCCTGCATCCAGACCGCCTCACCAGGCCGCAATTGCGCGCAGCTCACCCGCCATGCGGCCCCGGCCTGCACGCGTTTTCTGAGCGCTCTGCGATCCAAAGCCCAAGGCGGACTGTCACCAACTGAAACGTCCCATGCCCGTCCATCTTTTCACCTCTGGGTTTTCATGAAAGTACCATCCGTCACTCTGGTGAAGAATCCTCAACATGTCAAGCTAATTTCCGATGCTGACTGCTGACACAAAACGTCCGCAATACAACCCAACCACCAACATCGCAAAAACCCCGGGGGGGGGGGTGGGTAAGAGTTGCCGGCCGCGCAGTCTGGACAGCTCACCCATCCCACAAAGCCTCCCTTCTCGACGGAACTATCGGAACATGGCACTTTTGCCCAGGCCTTCTAGGAGCACTTGTCAGCACCAAACAACTACAAGCGATGCTAAGAAACGTCTCCCTCAGCCATGCCAGTGTATGGCGGATGCGTTTGCTTGCGCCCTGCCGTGGCCTCGTGCATGTCGCTCAGAAGGACGGAAAGCTATAGCCTCCGCAAGCCAGCCGACGCTCGCTTCGGCTCGTTTTGCAAGTCTCTTGCATGCACTTGAAGTGTGGATCTAGGGAGCACGGGCCACCTCCAACTCGGGACCAAAGGCAAGGAAATCGAGGCAACAGCCAAGGGGGACAAATTGATTCGTTCGCCAAGTATAGGTGACAACTCCTCCCAAAGAGGCAACTTTGATGTGGGAAGGCCATGATTGGCTCCTTCGCTTGAAGCTACAAACTATAAATTCGAAAGGGCCAGGAGTGGTGCCTCAGGATAATGTTTGTCAACGTGCCGATTGCGCCTGGAATTGAAAGCGCCAATCCAGCCAGGACGAGGACAATCGCCAAAATCTGCCGGCAGTGTGCATCTTTGCAAGTCGAGAGTAGACCTGCTTTGAAATAATTGAATGGCCATACTTCCCCGATGGCCACCAAGTGGCTCAATTGACAAAACAAACAAGCATTGCACGCAGTACATGTTTATCTTCCTGGGGCAAACTGGCAATGATTGCCAACTGTATTTGTTGTACTGCCACAGTCAAGTGAGCGCAGTGTGGAATTCAAGCAAGTTCGCCTTTACAGTGACATCCGTGAGATGATAGCCTCATTTGGCCTGTCTGCCTTGGATAGGAATGATGCTTTGGTGTTGCTTACTTGCCGTGTCCGATTGTCCAGTGGACAAATGGCAGCCACGCTGCTATGAGTTGAAAAGATATAGCCTATGTTTGATTGAGACAGCATCAGTCCTAACATCATGACACAAACCTTTGCTTCGCTTGCTTGTCCAGCCAGCCTGTTGTGCAGGGTTGATCTCCTTGATTGCCTGACATCTGATCGCAGGAATCCATGGACATGTGGATGGGTGGCCCTGTTCGAATGCGAATGGCTGAGAGGGGCCGAAAGCTTCAACATCATAGAGCCCACCCAAAAAAAAGGTCAAGTCATGTCTCAGTAAATGACAGTGCCGAGTGGGAAAACACATTACCACTAGTACTTGTACTTGCTCTACGAGCAAGATGCGTTGTTCCAAAACACAATCCATAGACTGCAACAGAAATGGGCAAATGCACTTCAACTGCATGTAACGGGGACTTTTCAACATTGACGCCAACGGGCAAGCGCGCACCTCCTTGGGCGGTGCCTCAGAGCCACCCTGCCAAATCACCGCCTGAGAGGTAGCGAAGGCTGCTGTCATCTGTGTGTTCCTGAAATCTGGGTCAGCAAACTATGACTCGACGTCTATATTATATATATATATAGCTTGAGTTAAAAGAAATCGGAGAGTTTTGCGTGTTGTGTTTTATATATCTCGTTCATCGCAAAAGCTGGAGTCGGTGCAGCCCTCCGCGCGTGGCCGTGGCTTCTCGAGGAAAAGGCCCCGACTGACACGGCGAAGGCCAAGTACAAAGAGCCCGAGTCGTCGGGGCCCTGAGCATCGCAGCATCGCAAAGTCTCCAAAGTTGTGTCTCATGCGGAGATGGAGACGAAAATGATTCCTGGAAGGTTCGGGATGCATCTCAGCCTTTGAGTCTCAAGAATTGAAACCGTCATAAGCCCACCATTTGCAAAAGGACAACCACTCCGCGGTGCCTCAATTCGGAGAACGCATGCACCCCGGCTCTACCGGCAATCAATCTTGGCTTCGAACGAAGCTGCCGTAGAGCAGCAGGGCGAAGGCTGGCGGGAAGCACAAGGAAGAACCGGCCGTGCAAACCTTTGCCCTCCCAAGGTGACAACTGAAGTCTTGATCATGCATCTGACAGATTTGCACGGCTCAAGAATCGCACACATGCAACATGCCACTCTTCCAGTATATTCCAAATTCTGCCGGGATGCCCAGCACATCCCTCAGCGTGCCTAGGATGCCCAGCGGCCCAGAGAAGCCGCCCAGGGCGTTGCGCGCCAACACCCTGGGACCGATGGAGACATGCAGAGCTCTCTCCGCTGGAAAGGCGTAGCGGACTTCTTGCCATCTCCTTGTGCCTTCTTGACAAAGCCCGCCTTTCACTTTTACTCTAAGCACCGGGCCCTCCATCCAGTCGCCCTGCCAGCGCAGGTTTCGTTTCGGATGTTGCAAATCGGCTTGAAGCGTTCCCAGAACTCAACAGGAGACACGAACAACTTGTAACATCCTGCTTGCACTGGGTTGTGTGAATTTTGAAGCTGCTCTATGACCACTTGGAGGAACGAAGCGCTATGCACACGTCTTCCCCACACTCTGCGCGCCTATGGGCAGCAGGGTCAAAGCTGTGATAATGAGGCCTCAGCAAAGCATTCTGTTCGACGCACCAAGACGACGGCGCAGCTGAAGTAACTTGCGAAAGTCGGCCCCTGTAAGGGCCCCGCCGCATGCGCCGCCCACCTTGCACGCAACCGATTCGTGGGCCCCCGAAATGACCCAAGCTCCAGAAGACAAGAGGCACACGCCAGGCGTGACTGGACCCTGGGGCTTCGCACCAGCAAGGGATTGGCCGGAAAGGCCAGGATCGTGGGATCCGCGAAGGGATCTGGCTGCGTCGTCACGGACCTCGAGTGAACGACTGGTGGTGATGGCTCGCTATCAAAAAAGAGCAAAACAAGTAGCTCCAGCCATCTGAGTCCCTTTCGAAGACAAAAACAAGTCCGGGGCCATGAGATTCAAGAATTTGTGTTGCTTAAACCCTTGAACTGCGGGAATCTTGGCGCACGGCGATGTGCCCAACAAAGGCCGCAGGATCAATCGCATGACCACCTGTCGACCGGTCTGCCGGAATACATTGACTGAATCAGGGTGGGTGCCGTATCGAACCTTTAAGGGACCTTACCCTGACTCCACTCAGAGGCGGCTGACAGTAGCTGACATCCGTATAGTTCAAGCCGAAGGCTGTCACCTTGTGCTTCTGAGCGTCAGGCAGGAAGGATCTGGTAATTCAAATTCACGATGTTGTCCTCGCACTCGCAATGTCTACATCCCAGCGAATGCGTTGCACGGTGAGATCTCCAGGTCTTGCGATGTCTCAGGATGTTTCTCAGCTTCAAAAAGTCCCATGAGGGTTTGCAAAGTCACGGGGCCTTGGTTTTCCCCCTTTTTTCCCTCTCCCAGCCCCCGTGGCAAGGGGAGCGAGCTGCGAACCGCCTCAAATCATTTTGCGCCACGCCCTCGCTTGGCGCTTGTGAGCGGCGCTGGGGCTTAAGTGTAAGGCCCTAGCAGCTCGTGCTTCCCCCCCTCAGCACCGTCGCTTGCCCGGCTGGCTGCTTCATGTCACGCATGGTCGTTAGGCAGAATTCTTTGTTTCAAAGGTCGATCTGAAACAACTTGGGTCGTGGGACTGCTGCGCCCGAAATTCGGCAACTTCTGAAACCCCATCATGAAGGGCTCCAGGCAGCACATCCTTAAAAGCACCACTGGTTGCCGCAATGGCAATGGACAGCAGCTCAATTTGCAGGCCAAAACGCGGCTCCGAGAGGCAGGAGGGGTCCAGCCCACTAAACACTGCGCATTGAAGCAGCGGGTGTGGGTGGTTGGCATGACGCAACAGGATTTGTCCCATCGCTAGGTCGAACTCGCGGTGAGATGGGATGACCTCGCTACAATTTACCCAGGCAGCATGGCTCTACAGCATCGCCACCTGAGCTGCACTTGTGGAGAGGCTCGTTGGACCCTCGAAAGCATCAAGCATGAGGTGTTTGCTCGCGGAAAAGCCGATCTGGCACTGGATCTGACAAAACCTCAACTCAGTCTGAGGTCGGGGCGTGCTAGGCGCTTCGCCGTGCCTTTGAAGTTGTCCAGGTGGTACCTTGTGCCACCCTCGCTGGCATCCACCTCTCCCCTCCCGTACCAATTGAGCCCAGCGGCGCGATGTGCCGCTCGGGCATCTGCAGTAGCGCCTCCCAAGCGCGCTCCAAGACCGAAGACTAAGTTCTGATGACCCAGCTCGGATGTGGAGTATTTTCAACTCCCAAAGGAGAGTCTGTCCATCGCTTGATGTCATGTTTGAGTGCACCCCCGAACCCCCGAAGTGCGGGACTGCTGCCAGGTATGAAGTAGTTGCAAAGATGTAGCAAACAGCTTACCTGTGGCCGGTGGCAGGTTGTCGTTAAGGCTTGCGGATGCCACTCCCTAGCGAGTGTGGTTGACCAGGCACAGTAAAACATGAAACATTCCATGGTCTGCGAGGCGGAAGGCAGTCCGTGCCAGGGGTTTTCCCTTCATCAAAAGCCAGCAAGACCATAACCACAGCGGGTTCCACGTTGCACTGGAACTGCAGGAAAAGCAAAAAGCATGGCTTGGACCCTTCTCCGTTCGGGTTCACCCCTTGAGCCACAGCGCCTCAGCTAAGGTCTGCGGCAGGACCTCACGCAGCCCGGCAGCGTCGCCGGAGGGCGCCTTGAGACATTGCTGCGCCGCGCCCTTTTCGCAGGAGCCACAGGGTGACGATTCGACGATTCGATATTCCGAATACTTGAGGGCTGGGCAGGCGGGCCCGTCTTCATGACCTCGTCCACAAAGTTGGCGTCAAGGGCCTGGGCAAATCGCCTCAGGGGCCTTCATGCTGCGCCCCAGCCAACGCACAATTCCCGGAGGCTTATGCCACCCACTCGACAGAGCGCTTGGGCCGCAAGGCAAAAGCTTGGATTTTCTGGATGGGCAACAACACAAAAGTTAGTCATCAGCGCGCAAGGCCATTCCAGGTTTCAGGTGAGAACTTGCTGGGTTGTACAGGACGGGCTTGTCCGCATGTGACGCTCTTTAGCTCCACACCACTGAAAACAAAGACTACACACACACACACACACTGTGGCTTCCACCCAACATCACGCCGCTGCTTCCCTCGCCAACCTCTCGAAACAGCAAGTTGGGCTTTCATCCAAGCCACACAAGGGAAACCGCCAGCAATCAAAAGCCACTGCCAAGCAGGGCAGTCTGGAAGCCGCGATGTGGGCTGGTTGCGTGCGCGAGGCTGCCACCAATGGCATGGGCATGTGCTCAATTCAGGGGAGATCCCAGGTGGGCAAAAAACAACTGTAGAAAGCCTCCCAATCCCCAACAACTTTGGCCCCAAAAACCCAAACCCGCAAAGGACCACCAACCTCAAGTTCCAACCTCAGCCTCGCCCAGGCGCCCACCGCGCCACCCGCAGCGCCGCGCCGGCGTCGAGCTCCGGCAGCGGCGCGCCTCGGGCCGCGTGGGCGGCGCGCCGCACCAGCTGCGAGGCCGCGCGTCGGGCCTGGTGCGGCCTCGGGCGACGGGGAAAACTCATGCCTCAACACATCCCGCGCCCATCATGGATATTTGCTCCATTCAACCTCCAATTGCTTAAGGACCCTGTCAAAAACCTGAGAAAACACGTGCAGCAGTGGTAGATCCCCTTTCAAAACCAACAGGGCTCTCATTGGTGGCTTCAACCGGCGAGGCGGAAAAATCCCGAAGGGGACATGGGAGTCGAGTTGTGCCCTCTGGTTGAAACGACTTTTGAGACTAGAGGGCAACTCCGAAGTTCCACAAAGCTGCGAGCCAAGGCTCTGAGTTTCCAGGATCTCCCGAGGGTCAGCTGGGCCCAAGGTCAACTTCCCGGCTTCCTGGGCCAAGGACAGGATTTCTGGACCGGGCCAGGATCCTGTTGCCGTACAACACAAAAACTTTGGAACTTGACATGAGCCACTGGCATGTCAGTTCAGAGCCTTGGTGCGGCCCAAGGAAACACCCTGCCTTGGCAGAGTCCACAAGCTCCTGGCCCCGCTCTGTGCGAGCAATAATCAGCACCTCAGACGGGTCCGAGATCAGCAAAGCAAAATCGCAAGCCACAAAATCTAATATGTTGAAGCAATACACATTCCTGGAAGCCGGACATTGCCACCCACCTAGCCCTCGCCATGACGTCCAACGGGCCCAGGCGCCCAGCCGTCCCACTCGTGCTTCCGATCCTCCGTGATCTCATGCCGCCGCTGCGGCAAGCCCCCGGGCCAGCAGTCCATGACCACCACATCCGCTGCGTAGCCGATGAAGTCGGCGCACATCTTGCAGCGCCACCTCGGTGGAAAGTCTCGGTAGGCCAAGGCTTTGTTTGTGGCTCTGTCCTGGCACGCCGCGGGGATGCATTTGTTTCTCCAAAACATGTGTTTGTCCGTTGTGGCCAACACCACCTATGGCTTATGGCCATCAGAGTTTCGCGCAAGTTGTGATTCCACACGAATAAAAGCCGTGTATGAGGTGTTTAGCCTCGCAAAATCAAGTTGTTGTTCACTTACAACAGTGCCGCATATTACATGCATGTCATTGGGAGCTGGTCGCCTAATCATGCTAGGTCAGTTGTTTGATCGACGGCCACCTGATAGAAAGCATGGACCATCTGCGTGCAGCTGTGACAAAATCCCAGGCAGACATGCGCAAGCAAGGCGCATGCAATTCCTTATTTGGCACTGATTGCCCTCAAGGGTTTGTGTCCGTGTCTTTGTCACCGTCTCGGTCTCTGTCATGTGTATATGTGTGCACGTTGTGTTGGTGTTTATATTTGTGGCCCTTTGTTTCGTCTCACGGTCGGAGAGGTTGTCGCGGGGCCCAAAGAGCGAGAGTTGAATTGCGCTCTCCGAGGACTTCCGTGAAGCCCAGGACTGCACAGCCCAAAGCTGTCAGCGCTCAAAGAAAGACAGCAACTGGCTGAGGAAGCAGCTGATACGTCAGCGGCCCAAGCTCTTGGCCATTCTCAAACCAGAAGTCCACGTAGTCTTTGGACACCTCACCTTGGCAAGCTTGGCTGTGCTGCATGTTGGCCTGATGCCTGCAATAACAAGCCCAAACAGAGCGACACATCGGCATACGGGCTGAAAGAACATTCAAAGGCTTTCCCCGATATCCAAGTGAGTCCGTTCTCAAGGCTAGCTTTGCAACCTACTGCCATGAAGGGACCTGAGGGTCGACCGTAGCCCCTGTTTCATTGCGAGTCAACCCGGATGGGCATCCCCACGTCCGTCCTTGGTCCGGAGATAGGGGCAAGCGCCAGGGCAACCGTGGCCCCGCCAGCGGAACTCCTCTCGGACCCATGAGCAATTCAGTGATTGCACCCTTCTTTTTACCGAAGTCCTCGGTTGCTTTCTGCTCCCCTGCTAAAAGTTTTAACTTTTAGTGGTTTAATGGAAAGCCCATTAGTTGGCAAAAAGTGAAAGTCCTAACATCCAAGCAAAATGCACCAAAGAATCTTCTTTGTGTCTCCAACTGACATGGACATTTGATGACTAGCCCACAGCAACCCCGAATGACAACTTGGTGAATGCCCAATGTAATTTCCTTGAATAGAACACATAAAAATGATTATTGACCCTTGATCATGGGTTTGGAAGAACCTCCAAACCCATGCACGATTCTTGAAATGAGCCCCGCAAAGCAGGGAGCGTCTGACAGTGTCCTCGACTTCGGAGGGGTCCACCTTGTTCTTCGAAAGGAATTTGTCTACACATTCCTCAGCATGCATGGATCGCATGCTGCATTTGGAGTGCAGCAACGCGTCGTGGCTTGAGCGCAGTCAAATGGCATTGTCTGCAAATGTGCCGCAGGAAATGGTCATCATGTACTTGCAGAGTTGGTCCACGCGAGGATCTACGAGAGCGCAGTTGCCTCAGCTCATGTCTAGCCCAGAAGCCACAGGTCCTGTTCGACCAAGGCACGCATCGCGTTGATGTCACATGGCTTCGCGACGAGTGCAAAGGGTTGATTGCGGCTCAAAGCATCCTGCGCACAGGGCGTAGTGCTTCAGATGGAAGAAGAAAGGTGAATATATGTATATGTAGATGCATAATGTGTGTACAATATATATGTATATATATTGTGTATTAAACAAAAAAAAGAGTAGGGTTTTGGAGGGCAAAAAAGCAAGAACGAAAGAAGGAAAGAACGAGAAAGGGAGAGAAGAAACGCCGAGATAGGTAGCGCTATAGCTGTAACACGGACAAAACAAGCTTCTTGTGCCGTAACCATCCATTGAGTCAGGACGCGACCTCCGTGTCTCAATTTGTGACGCCAAGCCATCCGCTCGTCCGCTCGCCTCCAAGGACTTGAGGGGCGCTGTGGGGCCGTACCGGGAGCCCTTGCCCTCGAAGACCTGCAAGGTCGGAGAAACATGGCCCCTTTAAAGTCAATCAACCCCAGCTTTTTAATAGGCCCACAAAAACCAGGGACACCCCCCAAAAAATTAGGCCCCTTTAGGCAGGAAGACACTTCCTGGACACTCCAAGTTTTCAGAAACGTGATCGAAAATCGACTTGTTCCCGGACCCAAAAGAAGCATTTCGAAACGCCCTGTAAGGCTGATCATCCTGGGAACAGGGCTGCTAAGACAGGGCTCCTAGAGGCGAGGGCTTCGCGACAAGGCTGTTGACATGTTTGGGGTGGCCATGCTTGCCACAGTTCTCTGCAAGGCCATTGAACATACCAAAAGGGCGGAGCAGATCTGCTGACACATGTTAGGATCTACAAGGCCCCCCCATCACCTAACATGCACCTGAACGCTCCTCTTTCCCCTGTTGACTGTGTAAAGAGAATGGCGCTGTGTTGAACAGTCACTGCGTGAGTGTGTGAGTGTGTGTGTGTGTCTGTGTGCTCGTGTAAGTTTTGGATGACTGCACCCAAGGCGAAATGAAGAACCTCACCTCAACACATTTGAGCGTTGGTTTTTATTCCCTACAAACTTGATTGGACACTATTCAAGCTTCTGCGGACCCTTCCGCAGCTTTGCCGCGGGCCAAGAGGTCCCTGCCGCAAACTTCCCCGGCACATGTGTTTCATTGGTTGCTTCCGCGTCGCATGTTGTGCAAGAGTTGCTTTCGCAAATATTGGCGCAGAAAGGAAAGTCATTTAAGTAAGGAAAGAAAGCAGTGTTTCGCCGCAGCCTGTGCAGGCATGAGCTCCATTTGGGCCACCTGTGCTACGTGGGCACTTGCCTGCAAGCATGTGGGCCCGTCCGCGGCGCTTCCGCGAACCTTCTACAAACCTTCCGCGAAATCCGCCGGCTGGTTGGTCGTCTTGGCTTGTTGTTGGCAACTGCTCTTCTAGTAAGCGTTGCGTCTTGTACGCAGCAACACCTTTCTGCTTCTACTGAAATTGTTTCTCTGTGCCTTTCCACGTACGCAAACTGAAACAATTTCATACCGCCACAAAGCTTCCACGAACCTTCCACGAAAGAATCCCTTCCGCGAAGCCTTCCGCATGCTTCCGCGCGCGTGGCGCGGTGCACATGTTCAATAGCAATGTCCCTCTCCCTACTAAATTAGCTTGCGGCCCAAAAACACGCCGCTCATTTGAACGTATTCTTTATAATGTACACATTGAACTATATATATATATACCTGGAGCACCCTTCGTTACCTAAATTTCTGCCCTTAGCCCAAACGTATTGCAAAACCAGGGGTCGTTACCAAAATATGGTAAACGTACACTTTTCCTGCTTCGAGCGTTTTTCCCAAAAGCGGGCTGGTCGGTCCTCCAACATGATCAGTCGTTGAATTTCCGAAAGGAGCGAGCAGAAATCGAAGTGCAAAGCGAGCGCAAATATCCGCAAAACGAGCGCAGCTATCCGCAAACGAGTGCAAATTTCAAAAACGTAACAGCCCGCCTTCCTCTGGATGGAAGAAGGGGATTTGGTCGAGCGTTTTTCGGGGGGCCAGCGTTTTTGGGGGGGTCGAGCAGAAATCGGTAATTCGAGCGTTTGTTTCTCGTACCTAAAAAAAGGGCAGGTTGGGTGCCTCAGGTATATATATATATATATATATGCATATGTACATGTTACATATACATTCAATGTGTATACCATTCATACAACTATGCATTTGCTTACTTCTTTACAACACTACTATGCATTTGATTTTGTTGTGCCCCCTGGCTGTCCGATTTCCCCGAAAGCTCCGGCGAAAACGTCTCAGGCCTCCGCGGCGGTGAAGCTCAACTTGGAGCCCTGGGCGGAGACGTCGCTGTAGAGGGCGCAGGCCTTGACGTGCAGAACGAAGGCCACCTGCGAGGTGCGTCCCAAAACCCATCACGCTATGGACACGGTACAAGGCGTGAGGAAGGAAGCCAAATTCGATGGCCATGATGGCCATGGTCAAAGGGGCAAGTAGGGAGCTTCCGCAACCATGAAGGAATGGGTGTAAGTATTTTGGACGTTGCTAGTGGCTGGATTGGGATTGAGGCCGCGGAGCAATGTGCGGCGCACGTACAATTGCAAAGGACAAACTGCTGAATGTGGGATAAAGCAGGGCGTATTTCTTTCACACCCATTTCAGGCAACACCTCGTGAAATCCTAGTGCCCCAGGTGGTCTTCGCCAAATCCCCTTCCAACGTGGAAAAGAACATGAGAACACCCTCGGCGCAAAGCTGTGCCAACAACATAAGGGCCATCTTTTCACCTCGCTGACTATTCGATGCATTCCAGGCCAACCAACCAACCTTTCGGTTGGCACTTTGGGCCATCCGACTTTCGAGCATCACTTTGGGCCATCTCCTGGTCCAAAGTCTTCAGGCTTCCGCTTGGGCTCTAGTTTGCCCGTCTCCTGCGCTGCCAGTGGTGAGTTGGGGTCCTAAGAAAATCCACTGAAGGCCAATGTCTTCTAGCGTTTTGCCACGCTCAGTGGTCTCTCGAGCTTTGCCAGTTGGCTGGGGAAGTCTTTTGTGTTTTTTTTGGTCTCCCTCTCCTTCAGGTTGTCAAACATCTCAAGGGCGTTGAGGATCGCCTGGTCCATGTTGAAGTACTTGTAGGAGGCCAGCCGCCCGACAAAGGCCACGCCTTTCTCCTTCGAGGCCAACTCGGCGTACTTCTCATAGAGCTCCCGGTTGGCCGGGTTGGGCACGGGGTAGTAGGGCTCCCCCTCGGCGGAGGAGAACTCCCGGGCGATCAGCGTGCCCTTCACCTTGCCCTCCTTCACCTGCGCCCATCGCCAACCCTCCCCCTCCCTGCCCTCCCCGTTCAACCTTCCGGGTTTCTTGACTTGGTGAGGCACTTTTTGGCTGTATTCCTCGTTTCAAAACAAAAGGGAGCATTGCCTCAGTGGGCTGGTTGGGGACGTGCTTGTACTCCACGATGCGGGTGAAGGGCACGTCCGGGCTCGGGTGATTCACCACCATGGCCTACCGCGGCCGGGCGTCGGCTGTGGAGTGCCCACTGAACAATTGGGACTTGGGTGCGACAAAGCTCAAACTGGAACGTGTAAGACTGTAAGACGCTTCCAAAAAACAAACGCAAAAGGGGGGAAAACTCCAAACGTAAAAATGGGCCATCTGCCCAAAAATCCTCCGGAAGTCGGGCTGGCCTCTTGAAAGAAGCCCTCCTCCGGCTCGACGAACTCCTCCTCGAATCTCAGGGACCGGTACTCCAGCTTCGGCATGCCCAGTGCTGAGTAGTAGCTGTCAATCTGCCCCGTGTACACCAGCAGCTTGTGCTCGGGGAGCGCCTGATCCTCCTGAGAACTCGAATCCAATGACTCGTCTTCACTGTCACTCTCTTTTGAGACCCGCGAGTACGAACACAAACACAAAAAAGGCATGCCAGCACCCGGAACAGTACAGTAGCGATTCGTGATTTTGTCCTTGAGCTTGAAGAAGTCGCAATTCAGGCGGATGGTGATGTTGGGATCCCGCAGCAGCATGTTCTCGAAGATCCGGGTGTAGCCCCTCATGGGCAGGGCCTGCCAAGGGTCCGGGAAGTAGCGGTCGTCCGTGCTGGTCCGGCAGGGCAGGCGCAGCAACACGCTGGCATCCAACTCCGCAGGGTATTTGTCCCACTGCTTCTTGGTGTAGTGCTTGAACACCTTCTCCTTGGCTCACACGGAGACCCTAAAGTTGCACCCCTTTGTATGATCTAGTTCGCTCTTCTCTGTCGCTTCCTCTGCTTCTTTTGAATGGTCTTCTCGTTGCTTCGCTCACCAGTGACCTAGATACATCAGCCCCTAACGCAAGGTCGTCAATGACCCAAACATTGCGGCTGAGCCTCAAATAGCCTAGGCCCGACACGGGATAGCGCTGCCTCCTCGCCGTTCTTTGGCTCCCCCTCCGGCATGATCCGCTCCTTGTCGTACCACGCCTGCATCTCCGCCTCGCTCTTGATGTTCTCCCCAAAGAGAACGTTCACCGACTCCTGGGCAGTTAGAATCAATCTGCATCTGCACAAAATGGTGTGCAAAATGAACCCGTCAAGGTCCCCTGACAGCCCTAGAGAGTCCCCGTCCTGGGTGGGTGGAATGGGCACAAGCTGCTCCTTTCCTTCCTTGTCCTTCACCAGGCCCTTGACTCTGTGATCAAAGGGGATCCACTCGGAAAACTGGAGCACATAGTTCCAGACCCGCTCGAACTGGGTGTGAAACAAATGCGCGCCATACTTGGAGCACCGGATGCCATGCTTGTCCACGTAGTCATAGCAGTTGCCTCCGATGTGGTCTCGTTTATCTATGATCAGCGATGTCATACCCAACTCCTTGCTACACCGCTCAGCCAGCACAGCACCTGACAAGCCGGCCCCCACAATCAGGAGGTCATAGGACTTGCCCGTCTTCACGTCTCCGCTCAAAACTGCCGCGTCCAGCTGAAGAGGCGCTTCTGATTTCTCGCCTGCCTCGAAGGTGGCATCCTTTCCCACGGTGTCCTGAACTTTGTTCAGGGCAGCCCATTCAGGCTCTGCCCGGCCCACGCCCACACTGGAGGCAAAAGGCCCACTCGGCATAGGCACTGATTATCGGTAGGCAGCTGGAAAAGTGAGCCTAGGTATGGAAAGAAATAAAATGGCTGCGGTGGAGCTCGTGGCATTTGAGTCAATCGCAGTGTGCGGGTCACAGTCTCGCATATATTGGATCCTGGATCCCGACACACAGATGAACAAAGTACCCTCCAAACAAACAAACAAACAAACAAACAAACAAACAAACAAACAAACAAACACACACACACACACACAAACACACACACACACACACAAACACACACACACACACACACACACACACACACACACACACACACACACACACACACCCGCCCCCGCCGCCCGCCCCGCCGCGCCCGCCCGCGCCGCCCGCCCGCCCGCCCGCCCGCCCCCCCGCCCGCCCGCCCGCCCCGCGCACGCGCACGCGCACGCGCGCACGCACGCACGCACGCACGCACGCGCACGCGCACTCGCACGCGCATCGTACACGCACACGCACACGCACACGCACACGCACACTCACAAGCGCACGCGCACGCGCACGCGCACGCGCACACGCAGAGACACAGACACAGACACAGACACAGACGCAGACGCAGACGCAGACGCAGACGCAGACGCAGACACAAGCGCAGACGCAGACGCAAACACAAACGCAGACGCAGACGCAAACGCAGACACACAACAAACAAACACGAACATGCCTGCATGTGTGCACACAAACACAAAGAACATGACCAAACACACACACACACACACAAAAAAAAAAAAACAATTAAGGCATCCAATATTCATGTTGGGCCTTGAAAAGAAAGTGTGTGTTGAGCCAAGAACTTGCCCTCAAACATCTGCAGTGCGGTTTTGCGGCCTTCCCGGTGTCGAGAAGGTGCGAGCCAAGCGTGGTGAGGCCACCAGCCGCAGCCGCCTTCAAGCCTGGGCTAATGGACAGCGACCCGAGCCAAAGACCAATTCGCTAGACTCAGTCGTGCCGGACACCAGGCCTTCGGAGAATTTCAAGTGAGGCGCCTCCGTGAACAGCAACATTTGCTACGGCTTTGGCTGATACCAAATGCAGAGGATCATGGTGGTCTGTCCACATCTGCGTCAGCCAAGGCAAAACGTTTGGGAGGTCGGCCAGTCCACTCCCCGGAAGTTCAGTGTTCGATCCGAGGCACGAGTCTCCGGATCTGTGGCGTAGCCCCGCTGGATGGAGATGGCCTCCCACAAGCCACGAAACCCCAGATCACAAATGAGAGAGTTCTGAACCCAGTCGGAAATATCAAAAATCCTGCTAGCAAAGGCTTTCGCAGATAAGCGTCTTATCGGATAGGCTTGGGCCGATTAAAACTTGCTTGGGCAACACGTGGGAACCTAGCAGGAGCATGGCTGCAAGAAGAAGGCTTCAAGTTGCCCAGCATCTTTCCTCCCGGCCTTCAAATGCAGTGGTTTTAGAACGTCGCAATCGGAAACTGACCCCAAAGAGGCACAGAAGTCGCCTCCTCGGGTTTCGTTTCTTGGCCCAAGCCCCGATGCCCAAGCCGAAAGGTGAGGCCTTCCCAACGAAGGCCTCCATGCCGGTGGCAGGCGCCCAACCTGTGAGCACAGCCGAGACGCTTGGATCTTGGAGGTGGCAACTCCGTTCCCTGCCCGGCCTGGCAGGCTGCCAACCTGTCGCCAGTGTCTGTAGGAAGTCACATGGACAGCGGATGGTTTGACGCTTTTGAAGTCCTTCCACGCCCAAACTGGCCAAGTCTTGATCCCTTCAAGTACAATGGCCGCTGTGAGCATGCCCAAGCAGTGCAGGGCAAAAGTCTTCAATGCAGACCGAGTTCTATTCCCACGCCCACAATGTTTGCGGCCTGGCTAATAAAACATCAACTCAAGATCTGGAGGAATGAACCAACTCGCTTGCACTGTCTGACTCTCTGTCTGAACACGAACTCGCGCTCCAGCACGCGCCTTGGCACCGGGACAGGCGGCCAGCGCCTTCTGGAGCAGCTTTGGCTCCGCCTCCTGCGACGTGTACTGATGCTGGGCCTGAACCCAATTCTCACCCATCGAATCCTAAGCCTTTCTTCAAATTCGGGGCAAAAAACACTGCAAAAGGGACCCCTTCACAACTAAGGGAATGGTTTGGGATTGCTTGTGAAGGCCCAAGCACGCAACATGATGAGCGCAGCGCCTTGAGCATCTAGAAATAGTTTTGCCAAACGATATGTCAATCATCTTGGGACGGTATTGAAAGCAGCCCAAAGGAAGCCCGGCATTGAGGGTCCCGTGTTTGACACGATCACATGACCCCAAACGAATGGGAAAATGTATCTAGGGCACGTACCAAGTGTGAATCCATGATAAGCCTCTGCGGTACGCCCAAAAAGCATTCGTAAACCAGGGCCAAACGTTGGGGTTCATGTCGTAATTCCTACATTGCTCCAGCCATGTTTGACTACATGTTCATCATTCCCAGTCGTGTTCGGAAGTATTGACCATTGCCATGCTCACAGGCACCACCTGCCTTGAGGAACACCGGGCGCATGCGCTGCTTTGGCGGCTGCACCTGGGGACGTGGGGACTGGGGTTCGTGCTGCCCGGCTGATGTGTGTGGCGACTCGTCAGCAAAGTGGCCTCCATGCGGATGAACTCGGGCCCCACGATGCCCTCGCAAATGCCGCACCTCACTTCATTCGCGAATCGGCATGAATGCGTGGCAGAAACATGGCAGCGGTGCTGAGGAGGAAGCCCTCCATGCTGAGCTTGCGAAATAATCTGCATCCATGACTGAGGAACTTGTTCATGAAAATACGGGATGCGGCGCGAGATGCATACAGAAGCTCTCTGCACATGTCGAATGCTGTTGCCTATCTGTGGGCAACAGTAACTGTTGTATGTTGCAGGTGAACATATATGAAGTGACTTCACCCAAAAACGCATGAAAGCGTCTCAGACATGAATGGACCATTCCCTTTGTGTGTGTGTGTGTGTGTCTGGTTGTGTCATGCCCTGTACATCAAAGGCTGCGTCTTAATTTGTCCTGGCTCCATGGCACGCCACGTCATCAATGCTTCATGCGTTTCTGACACCGGAAATGCAATAATTATGTTGCCCGTCAAATGCTGAATTCTCTCAGAAAGGGTTGTCTGAGGCTCCCACCCCACGCAGTTACCAGACGTCACCACCTCTTGCAGAGACGCTGGAGCGCGGATGGAGCGGCTCCACTCCGTTGCCAAGGCCGCCAAATCCTCGATGTCCGCCATGGCACAGCGCGAAGGATTGGCAACAACCTATACGGCGCCCCCGGCTGCTTGGTCATGCATGATTCCATTGTTCCATGTTTGCCATGGTTGCCGTGGAAACCGTCCCAGAGGTGTCCAGCTCCATTCGAAATGGATCTCAACGAGCGCTCCGCTTTTCTCCCATCTACTTGGCTGCTTCGGAGGCGCCGTCCGCTGCGCAGTCGATGCGCACCAGATCCTTCAGCCGGGCAAAGGTCGGGCGCAGAACTTCACATTTCTTAGCCTTCCTTTCGCGTTTCGGAAATAGCTGGACAAACCCTCCTCTCCCCTCCTTTAGGTTTCCGACAAAGTCCCTGATCTTCCAGATCGCAACGCGAAATAAACTCCTGCCTTCACGTCCACTCGGCACAAGGGGCACTTTGCCTCACGAAGCATGGCCAGCAGTAGCCGCATGAATGGCGCTTTTGGGGAGGTCCCCAATGGTGGCATAAAAAGCTGCCTAACAGGGTGTGCGTCAGAAAGTATTTTGAAAAGCTGTTCAGAACACCGGCTTCCAGACTCCAACTTTAACCCCGAGACTTTCAATCCCTGAAGCCTCGTTGGGTGAGCTTCTTTCCGCCTTGAGTCTCCGAGTCCCCGGGCGTAGGAGGGATTCAAACGAATGGAGATGCCACAGTCCTGGCCAAGCGGAGCATCTCCGTCGCTTTGGACAAAGCTTCGGAAGGGCCCTTGAAGTCTCTGAAGAAGGGCCCTTTCAAGAGATCGAGGGAACATGGATAGAAGTCAGAACAAAGTTTCTTCTAAAGCACACTGTTCACTCCTAGCTTTCAAACGATTCGGATGTTCACAACTTGATCCATGGCTGTCCACTGGGAGCCTGACTTGGGATGATGGCAGGAGTCAAGGCACTGGTGAGTGCAGCACTGTGGGAATTGTGTGCTCCCCTTCCGCGGCTGTTGGTGAACACGACAAGGCTTATTTCCCTGGTCACAGTGGCCCAAAATAAACCTTCCTGTTCACTTCCCCTGTACTCGCACCAATTGAGTGAGCCTCAGAATTCGGAACCCCTTTTGAGACCTGCTCTTAAGGAACCCATGTAGGTTGATCCAGTTTTGAGACCTCTACGTCTCTAGCCCTTCGGAGCCCCGGCGTAGCACACGCAGAAGTGGTTGCAGGGCAGCAAGGCCGTCTCCCGGGGCGCAGTGAGACCTCGGCCAGGAACCGGCACTTGTCGCAAGCGCTGCTTCAACGCGTGTGGGAAAAGCCACCACACCGGAAAAGCACAAAAACCGCCGCGAAATGCTTTTTTTGTGCTGAAGCCTTTCCTGAAAACTGTGGTCAAGAACGACCAAAAGACAACAAACTAGTTCAAAGCCCACACTGGGTGCCCCGGTCACACTACACAGTTCTGCTGGCCGGCAGCACTGCCAGCCCTTGCATCCTGACACAGAGCAGAAAGGAGCGGGAATGAATCCACCCAAGTGGAAGTCGACTGCTAGTTGAATTTTACACACAACCCCTCAACGCTAACAAAATAGTGTACCTCGCCAACATCTTGTCCTACTTGGGTTGTGCGAGAATCCCGCTTGTTTGAGAAAAACGGGGTTGCTCCCGCAAACTCTTCAAAAGCCACCATCCCCCAAATGGGAGAATATGAGATCAGATGAGGCGTCCTGCAGGCCGAACATGTCCTGCATCTCAAAAGCCGCACCGTCGCCTGGCGGAGATGCCTTCCACCCTTCCCACCATCAGCGCTGCATGTGGGTCTTTTGCAAACATAAGTTTGGCCCCGGCTTTGGTGCCTTGAGTCCTTGGTTTTCCGTGCAGAAAGGGGATCCAAAGCTTGCCTCTCCGGAACCCTGCCTCCCCAGGCGATGATCTGTCGCACCACCGTCAGGCCCTTGCCCTGCACCAGTGCAGCGAGAGCCAACGAGTTCCACCGACCAAAAGGCGAAATTGAAAGACCGGCCATACGCCCCCCCAACGTGAAGTGTCCAAATGCGCACCTCATTTGTACAAACCAAACTGTGAGGCCATGACTGAAATGCATGGCATGTGAAGCTAAAGCCCGCGCCTGCACTGTACCTGGGAGCATCCAACGGCAGCGTCCATGCCAGTTTTGTTTGGATTGGAGCAGAGATTCACCGAGGATGGTCCAACATAGCAAGATTGTATCTGGAAACTGCTCAGAATGGCGGCTATATCAGTGGATGTTTCCTCAGTGGCGCAGCCCCAAGTGTCATACTTCGCCCTTTGGATGCCCGTCCGAAGGCAAACCAAAGCACTCAGAAGGAGCAAGGCCTGTCGTGTCTGTGGCAGATCATGCCACCTGAGACTCCGCAATAATTGGGGCACCGGCACCAGGTGGTGCGACAACAATCATGTGAACTTGCCTTCTCTCACCCGCATCTTACAACCAAACAACCACTCCAGTAGGCAAGATCTTTGACAGAGCTGGGCCATTTGTGGGTGGAGCCTAAGCTTTGGGCCCAAGTGGGCCAATTTCATTGACCAACACAAAACCAATGAATATTCATTCCTCAAATGTAGACACATGACCGGGAACATGTACCAGTTCAGCTCTATGGTACAAAAAGAGTATGGGACGCTGTTCACAAGACACAAGAGACGGTAAGGGCCACCCGGCCGAAGGTTTTGGTTGGGACTTGCAACTCCGGAATCTCCAAAGACCCCGTCAGAATCGCAGTGTTGCTTCCTGGACAACACAAGGACCCACCCCTTGTGCTACCCAAAGGCGGTTTGATCATTTCCTCTACTGAATAAACACGACAAACGTCTATAATATATATATATATATATATATATTATATATATATATACAATTAACATCTATATATAATTAGTCTATATATGTATAATTAATCTCTCTATATGTAATTACTCTATACCTATGTGTATATATATTTTTATAACATAAAACTGCTTGCTGTTTGCTTCCCTAGTGCAATGTCCTAGGCGTTGGCTCGCAGCACTTCCGGGTCTTCGCTCCCGAGGCGCAGAAGGCCAGCGTGGTGCCGTCCGGCGGCTGCTGCGCCAGCGCGCCCGCGGTCTCCCCGGGGCGCAGCACCAGCACCGCGGGCCAGGTGGTGCCTGACGCCCACGACCGATCCGACGGTCCGACGGCTGGGCTGTCCTCAGATCCGCCAAAAGCTTGACTTTCAATGGGTTAAATGGACACCCCCCCACTAAACACGAAAAAGCTGAAAAGCTAAGATGGCTGGGAGCCAAGTGATGGGAAAACCGACTGTTGGGTTGTCGAACCGTTGGGTTGTTGGGCTGTTTGGGTTGTTGGGTTAGGCTGTTGGCTTTCAGCGAAAAGATCTCCGGAGGGATGAGAAAAACAAACTCCGCGGAAAGAAAGACCCAAGGAAGCCAAGAGAAATGTGCGATTTGGGAAGCACTGGCCGCGCTCGACTCGGAGGACTCTGCAATATGTTTTGTTTGGGAGTTCCTAGTTTGCCCGCATCAAGAAAAGAGCAGAATTGATATTGTGAATGATGAACCCGGAAAAAAAAAAGAAGAAAAAAAAAGGGGAAAAAAAAAACAGCGTGCAACCTCGCCAACAATCGGAAAGAAAATGAGTGCGTAAAAATGCTCAACGGGCATTCTGCACGTTTGCTTGGCGGGGGTGCAGGCTGGCAGCGTATACTTTCTGTGGAGGCCAACCCACTAACCCCACGCTGCTGAGGTCCAAATGTGGCCCTCGTGACTGTTGTGACTGATTTTGCCGCATGCTGCAGCAAAGGCACTGTGGTGATTGCCCACTTTCCTCAAGCTGGCAAGGCCTGGGCTATATGCGGAGCGCCAGCCCTCAATGTTCTACTGTTAATGCCCACTCCATCACTATCAATGTGACAGAATCCAATTATTGGAATGTGGGGGTGAGGCACACTGATCGCTGCATTTGTGCGAGTCTCATGCAAATCTGCCAGGTCTGTCCGTGAGGTAACTGGGTGCGACGGGCTAATGCCGGCGCAGTCGAAGGAAAGCTCTGACTTGCCCGAGGCAGCGATGCTCATCCTGCGCAGGGAGTCTTTTTCGCTGGAAGTCGTTCGCATCGCTTTCAGCTCGAAAGCGGAAATTGTGGGAACGGCTCTGTGGCGTCTGGGCGGCAAGCAGGTCTAATTTCCCTGCTCCACTTGCACCAATTGCACTTCTGCATGGGCCATGTCTTCGAGGGACTTGCGCTTTGGACTATGAGTTGGGCAAAAAAACAAGCTCTAATTGACCTGGACTCTTCAGAAGTCAAATCAACATGGACTCTCACTTCGTCTTACTTGAGAAGTCCACAAAATGGATCAGCGGCCTCCGCACCACGGCACCGGTGGGGGCTGCGGAGATCTTCGGCCAGGGGCGCTCGCCGGGGGTCTCCACACACGGCATCAGCAGCTCCACCGCGCCTGCGACGTTGGCCTCGGACAGGGCGCCGCCCCAATCGCAGAAACTCGGACAACTGGGGGGGGGGGCGGAAAAACCAAAGAAAACCCTGTGGAAAACTGGGGTCATTCTTTTTTGCCGGTTTCTGGGAGTTCGCAAAGTCGTGACTTTGATCATGGTAAAATAACGAGGCCGGGAAAAGGCCGCTCTGGCCCTCTTCCAGTGTCCAGAGGGCGGACACCAAGACGCTGGCTGTGTCCGATGGACGTTGAAAGCAACAAACGACCAACAACACCCACGTAGAATTTGTATAACGAGCCTTCTGAGACTCTGACGAAACTCCCCTAGAGCCTGCCCACTCCCTGAGGCGCCCTGCGACGACCTCCACCTGGAGCTGCGAATTCTCCAGGCGCAAGGTGCCCCGCAGCAGCGACAGCCCCGGCCGCACCGCTTTGGCCTCCGGGGGGGGGGGGGGGGTGCGCGGGGGCAACGGCGCTCGGATCTAACGGGGTAGAACCACTGGCAAGTGAAAGGCCAGGCCCTTTATTTCTTGTTGAACCTTGCCCTTTTAGGCTTCCAATCCAAACGCAAATAACACTGAAGCCAGCCAAGGTGCCCCTTCCTTGGTCAGGACTTACCGCTTTGTTGATGAACAGCTTGAGTGGTGACTAGAACTCGTGCAGACTCAGCCGACTCGCAGCAGATTTGTCCAACTCAACCCAATCGTTAGTGATTTGGCAAAAATCAGCCGAGTCAGCAAACTCAACACCCATTCTGTATTCGGCAAATTCGCCGCTGATGGGGCATATTCACAGCTGATTCGGCGGCTGGCTCGGTCAATTCACAGCTGTCTCGCTGAACTCACACACCAATGCGGCCAATTCACATGATTCGGTCGCTGAGTCCAATTCACGGATGGATCAGCAAATTCGCTGCTGGCTGGTTTGACTGATTAGGTCAATTCAATGCTGATTCGGCCCATTGTAAAGGATTGCAGGGTAGCCTGACAGATCGTGCGTGCCCTGATTTCCATTGGGGGCATTGACGGTTGGCCCTGCCAAGTGTGATTGTTCATGCTGCCTTCTTTCTTACTATGAACCACCAAGCTTTCCAAGGAATGTCCTCCTTGGCTTCCTTTACCAGCAAAACAACTCATTCTGACTGTGGACAAACTGTTGCGGAGCCTGCTTGGTGGTGCCAATCTGCTGCCTTTCGATGCCCGGGGCAGGATGAGCCTGGCTCGAGGTGAAGTCACTCTCTTAATAATTTCTTGCAAGAACAATCGTGTGTCATCAAATCATCCTGCATCATCTAAACATCAAACATGATTTCGCAGTCTTCCTCTGACAGCTGCTTGGCGTTTGCTCTCACGTGAAACCCTTTGTCAAGTGCATTTCACAAGAGACGTTTGCGGATCTCGCGCCCATTGCTGGAATTCTGGGTTACACGTTTGGCTTTGTGACTAAGGCATCAAGCCTACAGGTGGGAACCAATCACCACGTAATCGCGGATCCATAACTGCAGCACAAGGTTGCGACGAAATGTACTGCAAGCCAGTTCGTGATAACAACATCTTGCCTGCCCTCCATTTGCTTGCGGCAATGGTTTCACCACGGCATGACAAAGGCACAAAGCAAACAGCATGAATTCGCACAACATCTCGAAATATTTGAGCCCCATTCCCCAAAGACAGAGCCCTTTGGAAAGCAAAAACAGCGATCCAGCTTGAGCTTGGGACTCTTCAAGCTCAGCTTTCGAGCGAGCGACGGCGCCTGGCCGTCCGAGACGTTGACGATGTGCTGCTGCGGCAGCGCTGGCAGCTCTGGCTGCGAGGAGCTGCCGCCCATGGCGAACGGCTCTCAGACTCGGATCAGATACAGTGAAATGAGTCCGGTGATTCCGCAAATCATCTGAATCAATTGGTCCGATTGTGCATCTAAATCAATGGCATTGTCCGAGGTCCGTCGCGCTGTCACTCATGACATACCCATGGCATGGGCATTCTCATGACAGGGCAGCAAAAGCTGCGATGGCTTTCAACTTATTCCTGGCAAAGAATCACTCGGTGAGTTTCGCGGGATTGGCTTACTCCCTCGTCTCTGCCGAATTACATACAATTCAGAGTTCTCAGACTCTGCTCGGGCAATCCATTGACTTGCTTCCACGGTCTTTAAGAATGCTTTCCGAGTTCCAGGGCGGGGTTTGGATGCGCCTTTGGTGGACCTCCGACGGTATACCAAGCAATGAACCAGCTCAACCCACCGAAATGGATAGGCCCGACGCCGATGCCCGCCCGGTCCGTTTCGGGGCCAATCGCCAGCCCGGCAAGGATCAAGCCTACGGACACCTCGGGTCACGGGAGACGTGGGATCCAGGAGCTTGGGGTGCTCGGCTTTTAGGTGAAGACACAAAGCCTGGCGCACGAAAAAGGCGCAAAGCCGGCAAAAGGGTTGCGGGAGACGCAGGCAGAACACTCACTCTATCGCAGTCTCCGATTGGGAAAAGATATCTGAGCCTTCTTTCGGATGCCTTTCGGAAAATACAAAGCCTAGAGGCAGGTCGTCACGTTCCCACGCTGAAAGTGGCGGTCAACAAACGTTACACGAATACGGCGACCATCAACATGCGATGAGCCACCATCTGTCCATTCACAGGGTCTTCCAACCAGTTGATCTTCTCATGGCACATGATTCACGGGATGATCTGGTGCGCCATGAACGACCTGATGTTTGAGAACTTGGTTCGCCAACTTTCGGAACCTGTCCTGAACACGTCTGGCAAAAGGATATAGCGATGCAGAGTGGCGCCTTCCAAATCACACAAATGTCACCAAGTGTTTCACCTCAGGCGCCTTTGCACAGATGTAACGCCTCTCACTGCAGCTTGCATCATGTGGGAATTCACACGGCACCATGTTTGCACGTGCACCCCACGGAGCCAAGGGCAAATGACCTCTGACAGAATCACAGCGAGTGAATCGCGCCATCCCAAAGTCTGAGGCGCCCTGCCACCAGGCCCGCAATGGGGGCAGCCAGGGACATGTTCACTTCAGACTGGCGCGAAGCAGAAACAAGTTTTTTGCTTGGCTCACACACCTGTCACCTTTCAAGTTGTGACACGCAGTCAGCCCCTCCATCACCCATTCGCTTTGTCGAAGCTTCCACCAGCTTACACCCTGAAAAGCGGCTTGAAAACGAGTCCAAGTCCGTTTCGGCTGCGCCTCGCGGTTGGGGGCCGTGGACATGCGCCGGCTCACCACTCCCAGGCAGCCCACCGTCCTGCCGAGTGACTTGACCGCACGCGGCCGGCGAGTCAACTCTGTGAACTCAGTGAGCTGTGGCTTTCGTAGATGCAAACAAATCCAAGTGCCGGTGGTTTGCATGTCTGGCTGTGAACATTGACCAGCATCTCCTCGCCTATCCCTGTGTGTGTGCGTATATAGGTGCTATGGTTGAGGATCTGCTTGCTGACAGAGCGTTGCGCAAATGGGAACAGCCCCCATGCCGCGCATAGATGAGGGTATAGCCGCCAAGGGATTCACACACGTGTTGCGGGATTGGGTGTGAATCCGAGTAGTTGCCTGTTGTCGGTGCATGACTGGTTTTTGCCGGAAACAAGCTCTAAGCCAAAGGAGGCAATTGAGCATGCAACATTCCATGGAGAACAGCGGGAGACGGGCCATCAAACACGTCAGCGGAAGCAACTGGCAAAATGCTTGTACGTTCCGTGGAACGCTGTTGGCATAGATCTTGTCTCCTAGAAGTAGCACTTTGCATCAAAGAGCTGTCACATGTTGGAAGGCCCTGAAGAAGGTTTCATCGTGACTGGGATACCCGCTGGCCCAACCCCCTGCGCGCCCGATGGGCCAGGCGGGCAGCAGGTAGGGAGGCGTGAGCTTCACCCTGGCCCGCGACCGCGATCCAAACCCGTCGAGCTTTACACACCAGGAAGAAGCATCTCCAATAGCCGATGCGAGTCTTGGGCTCAAAACCGATTCATATGCACCAAATGTTCAGAGATGTTGTAATTTGCTCTAAAGGGGCATGCATGAGCATCTGACACATCTCACCAGATCTTACCGAGGGCACGCGCGACGAGCGACGAGCATGGTGGGGCGCTGGCCCGTAGTTCGATGCCACAGCACGTCGAGCGCTTTCCTCACAGCATCTTCAGACCGGACCTTTCGTCGCTCCAACCAAAGCCGCAGGTCAACTGGTCAACTGGTTTTAACAGCAAAGCTCTGACCCGTGAGATAGATGCGAGTTCAGCTGGGAGGAGAGGTGAGTGTTTTTGGCACATAAGCCAGAGTCAGTTGTAATGGCAAGTTCCTTCCCATCGAAATGGAGCAAAAAGGATTGGGGGACACGGCATGTCTCGAACTCCTTGGCCCGTCCTGCGCTGCCACGGTTGCCAGGATGCATGCAGCGATCGGAATCACCTGCCGGAGTCGCAGTGCAACGGCAATCCGAGCTCTAGCCGCTCACATCACCGAAACTGCTAGAGCTTGCCACTGGCTTGCCACTGCGAGAGCTAGGTTGGTTTGCAAACCTTCAGACTATAGATCGGCTTAGCAGCTGCCCCATTAGCAGCTGCCCTATGCTGCCCCACGCTGCCCTATGCTGCCCTATGCTGCCCTTGCCCTGTTCTCAGTTGCCGGGCCTTTTCAATAGCGGCGGTCATCTCTGTCATGTCAGTACCGGCCTGGAGCGAAGGTTCAGGTCGCTGCGGGGGGCAAAAGCAAAGGTCGCTGGTCCAACATGTGCACAGAAGCGGGTCGATGCCGTCAGGGGCAGAAAGCTTCCGAGGTCAACCGCGGCCTTGACATATTAGGCGTGCCGCTTGCTTGGCGATTGGGGCAGCCTCATGGAATCCTATGGGCTCCCGATTTGCCCGGGCCGAAACTGGGGCCCCCCGCTGCTGCGCCAGCACTCACAGGCACCACCTCAGGCGCCGGGGCGGGTTCCTCTGAACGTCCTGCAACCGGTGCTCAGTCCGTCCAAGCGCTTGGAACAATCAAAACTTTCCAAACGAAGTAGCAAACAGGCCAGTTCCGCCAACATGTTCCCTGAGATTGCAACCAATAAGGCCACTGATGCGGTTTGCACGGCTCAGTCTCCCGCAGCCAAGGGTGTGGAGACGCTGGCGATGAAGGTGATGACAATGAGCAGGCCGAAGATCAGCCACTGCCACCTCAGCCACCGTTACTTCCAGACTTCCAACTTGACGGCAAAGAAATAAGCCCTTTGGATGTCCTTGGAATCTTTCGGGAGACCAACGCCTCACGAAAGGTAGAAGGTTCAGAGCACCCAACTTTGGGCTGCTTCTTCTTGGAATGTCCAACTTGGCCCAGAGTACAAAGCATGCACTGATCATCCTGCCATGATCCGGGCGCGTTCAGAAAAAATAGAACCGCTAAGTGAGAACACAATCAGTGGGGGAAGCCATTTTCAAATATTGCAAATACATCAGCCACACGCCCTGGTTATCTGCCGGGTTTTTTTGGTTCCCCGCTTTCAAGATTTGGGGAACCAACCGTAGCAGCCACAGCTTGGGTTAGCGGTCAATCCTGGCATGACAGCCGATCCTGACAGTCTATACCAAGGCTTCTCAAACATCGTCACATTTGGAGCGCGATGGGAAGCAAGCAACCAACACAAATTCAGTGCATGCGCATGTAAGCGTGTATGTTTGTGTATATATTGCAATGTACAATATGTGCAATGTGTGTATGTATATAGATGTGTGTGTATATATATATATATATGAAACATGCGTACATACTTATAATATGATATGTGCATGCATGCATATCAAGTCGAAATGGATGTCGATCTCAACATTCACATCTGCACATAAATGTACACAGTCTACTTCTGCGCGGCACTAGCATCCGATGCCGAACACCCCCAGGTCCCGCGGTGTCTCGGCGCTCGCAGCTCCGGGAGCCCCGGGAGCCCTGCGCCTCCATCTTGTCATCCGGCAAATCGTCTGCGGACGAACGCGGTGGCCAAAATCCCAGCTCCATCCGAGCGCCCCCCCCTCCCCCCCCCCACCGCCCCGCACCAACTGACAAGGGAGCCTTTGGTCCTCCCAGGATCTATTCCCTCTAGATCTAGAAAAGTGTATTGGGAAGCTCCCTTGACAGGGGCACACATCACGCACCCCAACCATACTTCTTTTTTGTGGGGGTGGGGGGGGAGGTAGTTAGGGATAGCAAGACATAGGCTGAATTGGCTGCAACTTGACTTTGATTGACGACCCTTTCTGCCCCTGGCAGTGTGCTTGTGTTAGCACGAAGTCACTACAGTCACCTACACTTCTTCTGCAGCAGCAGTAGCCCCAACAAAGGAGGACTAAGTCGCAGTGTGATGCCGGGGCAACCAAACAACAGGCAAAAGGTCAGATCACAGCTGCAAACGGTCTTTAAGCCGATGCCAGAATTTGGGATATGCGTCCAAGTGACTCTTGTGGACCATGATCAGCAAACTCTTCCCTGATTCCTGGCTTCGGAGTCAAGGAGCTTTCTGGCAATTGGACAACGCGATAAATGATAGAGTAAGGCACATCACCAAGGGAAAGTCTTGACAGACTCGAGCGGGTTCGTCACTCTCTGAACCTGAGGGGATCTGACCGCGTGCTTTCTAACTGGTTTTTGAGGACTCTCAGTCTGCAAAGAGATTGAGGTCCTTCTGCCGCTGCAGGAAGAGCTCAACCTCATCACCCGACCTTGGCCACTTCTGTTGGCCGGTTTGGATTGAAAAAGGACCTGGAACAAACACGTGCTTTGCTTGAAATGCTTGGTGCCGTGTAGGTGTCCATTCGTTTGAAATGGGCCCCAAGGGAATTATCGAAAGTTGACTCAAAGATTAGGACTACTACCCAAGACTTACATAATAGGATCTTGTTGTTCAAGGGTTGTTAAGCAGAAACCATGAAAAAGCACACCGCTGATAAGCAACCATTGCATCTGACCCGATGGAAGATAGAAGTGACTAAGCCGCTCTAACTGTGAGGATCAGTGCTGCATTGATATCGATTCCCTTCTTCAACCACCACGCTCATCGGCCGAAAGCTCTCACTTGTTCTGCCGCCTTCATCCAAGTCTGACAGGAAAAGCGGCACGGTGTCTGGGACAACGGGGCAACTGCCTTTGGCCACCCCCCGACGCCCAGAACCGCGCCCGATCGTGCGGAGTCGTGGAAAATGACCTCAGGGTACCAGAGTTGGCTTCATTCATCTCACAACTAACATGTTCCTTCAGCAAGGCGCAGGGATTCGTCGAACGTCACCCAAGTGTGCACACATTTTCCACGACAGTGGTCGTGTGGGGCATCCTTTGGAGGACCCGGGCCCACCAATTGCAGGCAGCCAGTGACCAAAGTACCAACTCCGGGCTTGCCGGGGACATTCATGACGTTTTCTCATTTCACACGTTGGTCTTGGCTCACATGGCACTGAGCTCCATGGAACTCCATGGAACATGGCGCAAAACCGTGATATTCGGTGCACCGAGGAAAATGGCAATGTGCGACATCACTCGGTATCCTTGGCGTTTCCTACTATCTGCACAGGGATTAAGCCCTGAATTTCTTCCCTCCGCGGCAGAGATTTCTGATGATTCAGCCTGGGCCACCAAGAGAAGGCAACATTGGCATGTTGAAGGTTCTTCAAAGGATTGACGACACCACACCTCGTTACGGTTGTCGTGCTGCATATTGAGGCAAATTACATATGCACACACGAACACTGGCAACCCTTTGCTCATCAGAACAAAGGCCCAACAGCTCTGAGATGAAGAACTAGCAAGCGGCCCCCTCTCTTCGCTGGCATGCATCTGAATCTTGGCAAGCTGCCGTCCAGGCGCAACTTGCAAGCACATGGTCAAGACAGCAGTAGCCAATGAACCCCATCTTTGCTGCTTTCGATCCATTGAGTCATTGGCCTTTGTAGAACTGCTGAAGAGAAAGGGCATACCTTCTCCCAAACGGGCACAACACCGTTGTCAACCCGGCGCAGCGAGCAAATCCACAAAGCCAGCAAATGATTCACTGAAGATACAGGAAAGACAACCCTGTTTGCCGAACAGAAAAGAACAAAATACAAAGGTTCAAGCGGAAAGGCGTCCCGACCGGGCAAACGGTTTGCAAATAGGGCGCGCCCTTCCCCACAGCAAACCCTTGAAAGCTTTGCCGGCCGCTCCATCCTGGCCCCAAGGTCCATGGAGACTCTGCGAGCTTTTTGGGGCGCGGGGGTACTGTTGAATGGTTGATTCAATGCATGTTCGCGAGAGGACAGGAAACTGTTTGTTGAACAACAGCAAATCCTCGATCCAGGCCATTCTGCTTCAGCCGGTGCTTCTCAAAGCTGAACAAGCAGCCGTAACAGTGTCTACTCCCATTTCCCGGGCCCATTTGGGCTAGGTGCACTGAGGGGCATATGCGCAGGAGGCCAATGCGCTTTGCGGGGGTTAAGTCGGCTCGCTGCGTCGAGTCGTTTGCATGTCGACCGACATCCAGTGAGGATTTGCACTTCGACCTGGAAAATTTCGCTGCTCACCTGCCTCTAAACGGTCCGTCTGCCTCAGGTTGCATTTTCTCCACCAATGGATATTCTACGTACGCATATTGCTCTAGTTCACCAACTCGAAATCTAGGAACCGGTTCCTAGCTGGAGCTTCATCAGGTGCCGGCTCGAATGTGGGTCACCTCATGAACATGATTTCGAATACGTCACGCGCACGTTTCGTGAGATGTCCGAAGAGCGGCAATATCACTCAAAACACAGTCATACATATTTATAGTACTATGTGCACATGATATACATCATATATAAATATTCATATGTGATATGTTTGTGAATCCTTCAAACATTCGGTTCTATTCGTGTTGCGATGCCCAAGCCATGCGAGGCATCCGAGGCATCCGAGGCATCCGAGGCATCCGAGGCGCAGCCCCAAGGCCTCCTGGTCCTCCCGCTGCCTCCGGGCCTCCGCGAGGTTCTGGGCCAAGGACCCGTCGCCCGCCAAGAACTCGAAGCCCGGGGACCGCCACAAATCGTAGCCTGGGAGTTCTCGGAGCGGGAGCCGAAAAAAAGAGTTCTCGAAGAGTCCGCTCTTTGAGACACCCAGAACAGTCGGCAAGCCAAGAGGCTGGGGTTGATCTTCATGCGCAGCATCTCCTGCATAGGCCCTGCGCTGAAGTGCTGCTCGAAGACGGTCCTGCAAAGCCCCCAAGCAGGGCCTTCACGGATCCACACACACACAAATCATAGGGTGTCCTCAAATGGGGACCTCTTTCGGTGGTAAAGGAAAAGCAACATATCCATGTATGAAGGTCCAGTCTTGGAATCACCCATGGGCTTGGCCAAGGTTGACCTCACCCGTCCTGCGCCTCCGCCGCTGCCGGATTTTGCAAGGAATGACCTCGCGGAGCGGAATGAACGCACGGCATTCCCTTTGAGCTCATGAACCCAGCTCACCTTGCTATCACTCTTTGGCCGCTGCATTTCTCTCTCTCTCTTCCAAGGCTTACATCATGGAATCCCCGGCCCAGGGCTTGCGGCGGTCGGAAGCCAAGTACGCCTGCAGCTTGGGACGGCTGGCCATCCAGGCCTTGTAGGCCTTCAGCCCAGGGACACTCGCGGCGTCCCAGGCCTTGCCGTAAAACTCGGTGTTGAACTGGGCCTCCGTGGCATCCAAGGCGTGAAACAGCATGAAGTCGGCGCAGCTGACGCTAGCGCCACCGGCCACAGGGCGCTCAAGCCCCGAGCGCTTCACAACCTTCTCCAAGTGCTGCAGCCAAATGTGCATTCGACTCTTGCTCCATTCCAGGGACGCCTTGTCCGCCTGCTCCTTCTGACTGGAGTAGGACTCCTTGTTGTTCACCGGGTGGAAGGACCCACGGCCCTCCCCGATGTAGTCCACGCAGTTCTGTGTGATCTGGTCCACCCGCGCCTGCTCGGCGGCCGAGGCTGGCTGGTACCCAAGGGCCGTAGCCAGGTACGTGAGGCACGCCGCCGTTTGGTTCACGAAGACCTCCTCCTTCCCCGGAGGTCGATGCCACAGCACCGGGGGGAACATCACCGGGAAGGGTGCCGTGTCCTTGACCGCCGCCTCCGCGCTGCCGCGGAATGCGTCCATCAGCCCCTCAGGGCCGTAGAGGTTCTCATGGGACACCGCATACTCCGCGCCCGCGTCCTCCAGCAAAAGCTTCAGAGGCTCCACGCGGCCCTTGAAAGGCCCGTCGTGGTACACTAAAGTCCACTCCATGGCTAGGACGAGGGAAAACTTGAGAAAGAAAGCAAAAGCCGGGAGCACAAAGAACAGGATATCATGATATCTCCATCCCCCGGCCTTTCTCCTTTGGAGCGCCTTGTCAAAAGCCTGTGAGCTTCACTTCGAAACCACCCATCCGGCCTTGACGATGAGATGTTCTACGGCAGACTTCAGCTGTTGCCACTCTGCTTCGCCCAATAGGAAGGAGAGGAGCTTCAAAAGCCACCTCAAGCTGGGACAGCGGTCCTATAAGCAAATAGGTGTATATCATATGCCCACCATGCGTGCTCACATTTGATTGCATTGCAAGCAATGCGTTCTGCTAACATAATCAACAGTTGTGCTTGACTGTGTCATGCGTCCTAGACTGTGCGCCATGGTTCCAAGATACTCCAAGAACGTCCATTAGGGAAGTTGCCATAATGGACAAGGTCAAAAGGCACAACACCCGCCGATCTGCTGTCTTGCTCGAGGTCACTCACCAAATTTGAGAAAAGACCAACCCAGGCCCCAGGTCAGCCACAAGTGGACTGTCCGATCGTGAGAGATGGCTTTTGGATCGCTTCGCGTCGCTTGTACTAGATGCTGTTTGGCTCATGTCATCTCATGTCCAAAGCAGCATGACCCCGACCCATTCCGAGCAACATGACCAGAAGGAGCGCCAGGATCCCGGCATTGGGCAGCGCTGCAGGCGTCATGATCTTCAATGTCCACGTCCCATAAGCGCCCGCCGCCTTCCAAGGTCCAAGCGTGAGTCATCTGAGTCAGGCTTTCCCGCAACCCAAAGAGCAGCACAGACATGTAACTTCGCTTCGGGCCCCGGGCGTTGCCTTCAAACTGCCGTGTAGCTCAAAATTAAACAGGAGGGGTTACGCAGGTTTCGGTCCATGTCTCCACTTACCAGGGTTCCATTTTGGCACCGCTTTTTTGATCCACAGCCATTTGGCCATCAAGCCCCATCCAATCTCCGCCGGATTGCCATGGCCTCACCCATGTTGATCTGCTGCCCGACTTGGCTGAAGTAGCTCGTGGCCTCCTGAATGACCTTTGTGCCGGTGAGCTCTGGGTTGCCGAAGACCCACACCGCCACGGCGCTGTGCGCAAACACGGCCACCTGACCGAAGGACTTCAGGGGGAGTCAATAGTTAGACTTGGCCTCTTTTTGGGCGTTGACCGTTTATGGCAAATGCAAGGTCGGGAAGCGACTGCCCCTGAGGGAAGCCATATTCATATCCAGTGATCAAGGTTGCGGAAGGTTGCAGTCCTTGGCTCACTGGTCTCCTTGTGGTTCTGCCTCCGAGTTCTACATTGCGCTTGTCAACAAACATGCCCCATGCAGGAGGAAGAAAACCTGTGATGTGGCTTCTGGCACAAGAGTCCCTCACTTAGGCAATCACACGATCCCCGCCAGCCTTCACTCCAGCCCGAAATGCGCTTTGCCGCTTTGCCCAGAAACGGGGGGGGTTCTTGGACTTGAGACCCCTTGGAGCAAACCTCTCCATTTGAAACCCGCGATCCCGAGGCCCCGAGGGCCTGGACCCATTGGGAGGCCGCCAGCGCCAGCACGTGGCCAAAGCGCTTCGGCACGGCGGAGCCCCGCAGCAGCTCGTACTTGCTGGACCAGTACATGGCGAAGAGCCGGAAGGCCAAGATCACTTTCCTGGGACGAGAATGCGAATGCCATGCACGGAGTGCAGGTTGTTCGTAAAATTTGATGACTCCACAGAGCAGTTACTGCGAGAATTACAAGAATCGATCACCACTCAAGCAAACATGCCTGGCCAAACCGAGGGTTGATTCTCCTTTTCGTGCATTTCTTTCACAAGCCGTCCATGCACCTGCCTGAATCGATCCCTTTGCCTGAACGACATTGCGGTCAAAAGAAGTTGCCTGTAGAACCGCTCAGCCTCTCTAGACTCTTCTCAACCCCCTGACAAGAGCATCCAAATGAATGAGCGTCTCCGAAAAACAAGAGCCAAAGGACTCTGCTAATGGAAAGCTGATTACGTGATGTCGGCCAGGCGTCATTACCGGAAGGCAGCTGGAATAGAGCAAGGCAGCACAAACAGCACTCAGTTGGCTTGCGTGCTGCAGCCCCAGTTGAAACTCGGGCGGGGTATACAGCAGCTTCACATCCTGCCGGCCGAGAATGCACCTCTCAGGCTTGGGGGTTGTGTAGCCTGGGTAGGCCAGGCATGACCACTCTTCAAGCCATGCTTGTGGGGCATCTCCATTTGGGGCATCGAGCAAGAAGCATCTACGTGCGCTGGCAAAAGAGAGGAGCAGTGAGATTCAGCAGAAACATGGCAATGAGGGGCTCCGAATACAGTCTGATGGACATCCGGTCCTTCCAAGTCTTCTTCCAGCAAAGCGAGTGGGAGAGGTTGAACCACCATACCATCCCCACGGCCACAGCCTCTGGGTGCAGGCACTTGAACGGGTGGCTCAGCTCAAAAAATCGCAAAGGGGCCCGGACTTCGGACTTCAGACCTGGAACGCCTCACTTGGCCCAGACTTCTTGGGGAGTTCTCCGGTTGGGCTGAAGTCATCGCCTCGGTGGCAATGGAGAAGATGAAGAGCATCAAGATCTCGACACCCACGGCGGCGGTCCAGCGCTTGTCGATGTCTTGGAAGTCCCCGGCACCGATCAGGTTAAAAATGCCCCTCTGCCCAAAGAGGCTGAACCCGAAGTCCGCGTTCCTCAGGTTGGCGTTCCAAACAAACAGAGGCTTCCATGCAGGCCCACACAACATCAAGGTCCCTTGCCTGAATCGCCTTGAAATCTCCGACACTGGAGTTCAGTCTGGCAAACCCTTCTACCCACTGCAGCAAACAGGTCTGAACTCCGATGCCATGGCTCACCAGAGACACCACCACGCCCAAAGTCAGACACTGCACCACGAAGGTCATTTCCATGATCCGGCACTCCAGCACCTTGCATGTGCATGGCACTGGCACTCCTTTCCTCAATATCCTGCACTGGTTGATAAGGGCGCACGCTCAGTCTGGGCATCCCGGCCGTTCGGCTGGGCGGCTGCATGAAGTTGGCGAAGATGGCGATCAAGTAGCCGGAGGCCAAGTTTATAACCTGGCGCTTGGCTTTGGTTGACCGAATCTTGACTGGGACCACTTACATGGGCTGAAACTCCGAAATTATTTCCCGGTTCACTCAATGTGGCCGGAATTCAAAATCGGAGTCATCCAAGCAACGGAGGAGAAGACAGCAGCACCTATGATCATCGACTGGACAAAGGCAAAGTTTTTGATGAAGCTCTCACATGTAGCGCGACTGCCGGCTGGTTGGTCTTGCAGGACCTTTGCCTGGGCAAAATACAAGCAAGCAATCATTGATAATCAACCATGCCTGGCAAATAGATTCCTTCACTGGCGGGCCCAAGTGTCACGAGTCGTCACAAGTCATGTTCGGCTCTCTGCGGCTTGAGGTGCGATGCCCAGATCGGCGCATTCGCAGAGTGTGGACCGCTCGGTGGCGTTGGTCTGCAGCGAGCAATCGGCGGTCTGCTGCTGCGCTTGCTCTCGGCCCCACTTGGCCAGGCTGAGGCCCATGATCATCACCACCAGCACCATCACGAAAACAATGCCTCGGTCCCGGATCTTCTCTTAAGAAGTAGCATATGGAATGCGAGAAACACCGGACCCAAGATCCCCATGTCCGGAAATAAACAAAATGGGAGCAAACTTGGCCAAGTCTTGCCTGGCAGAGGCCAATGGACAGCTGTAAACATCAAAGCGGTGGCCTTCCCAATGTCCGATGTCCGATGCGAGGGGCCCATGGCGAGCTTCCTGAGGCTGCGCGACATCCTCAGTTGCCAGTCATCATCACCATGAAGCCAATGCCAAAAGGCCAAGTTGGAAGCGTGCCCGGAGATCTATACAGACGTGGGGCAACGAACGGGCGTTTATCCATGCTGATTTTGCAGAGATGGTGCATCACGAAAGCCGATTTGACCCAGGGATAAGAGACAGCAGAGACCTGTGTGCAAACGTGCTCTCAGAGAACAATGGCACCTGGATATACGTCTGGCAGCGCGCGCCTTGCAACACCTGCAATTGATGCAGCCATCACTCCAGCAACAAACTAGGATCTTGCAAAATAATCATCAAGCGGCCTTCTCATTTCGAACCCGTTTTTGTCTACGGACCTGCGCACGTCCAAATCCAGGGTGCTTCGGACAGTCGATATTCTCCCAGAAGATGTCATTGGGCAGCACAGCATCGTGGATCCTTGGCTAGACTTCAGGTCGGAAACACTTAGCAAAAAACAAGGAATCTGGAAGAGGGCCTGTGAGAACTCGACATCTGAACGTCCCTCGTTCTCGCAACAAGGGCTTGTCAACTAGGGTCCGCATCGGCAAAAGATAAGCCTTTTGCTCCGGGAATCGGGGTTGGGAGAAAAGTCCGTTTGTTCCCAGTGAGCCCGAGAAACGGAAAAAAGCAAAAAGCCTCGCTCTCATCTAAGGATCTGGATGGCGTGTCCTTGGAAGCGCTGCTCCGGGCCCTGCAGCCAAGCCCCCAGCAAGGCGAGCCGCGAGAACCGGTACTCCTGGCCTCGGGCGAAGCCGCGTATGGAGGCTGATAGCCAAGGGCACGGAGCTGATAGAAGTTCCGTATGCAAGTTCAATGGACAAAATATTGAATATCTGATTGACATTCTTGAGCTGTGACATCAGGTCTCCATGCAAGATGCGCAGTCAGGCCGCAGCGGTACGTTTTTTACCACATGCTCAGCATGGCACTAAAAACCATCTCCCGTCGCCAAACCGCTCAGCACCGACATCCCCAGCAGTAGCACCATCAGCATCACTAGCATCACCAGCATCACCAGCAACGCCAACATCATCAGCATCATCAGCATCACCAGCATCACCAGCGACACCAGCATCACCAGCGACACCAGCATCACCAGCAACCAGCATCACCAGCATCACAAGCATGACCAGCCATCATCATCACCACCACCACCCCACCACCACCAAAACCACCACCACCTAAACCACCATCATCATCTCGCAAGCTGCCAAGCATGTCAGAAATAACCAAATCTCGGCTGAAAAAATGAGAATAGAGCGCCAGCATGTGCTTCAACAACCATTCAAATGCATTCGGTTGATGTCATGGAAGTTGTACAGAACCCCAGAATCAATCCATCTGTCGAAAGTTGTGCACAAAACTGCAACACAAAATGCTGGAGTTGTGCCCGGATGCTCACAAAATCTCTGAACTTCACCAGGTCGAAGGTCACAAATGCACCCAGCACATCCTGTTCTTCTAGCTTCAAATTTTCCAAATAGGCCTCAGCCTCTTTCATCTGCTTCTCATCCCCTGCGGCATCCTGCTTCGCCTCCACTCGCTCTACCAGGCGGCGCATTTGTTTGAGCCTACCTTTGAAGTCCCGGATGAGGCTCACCTTGAACACCGCCTTGCGGCCTGCAGAGGGCGGAGCGCAGTCCACATCCTCCAGCCGCTTCAGCAGCTCTGCCTGCAGCAAAACCGGGCCTTCGAGGTCCTCATCCACTGAGATCTCCGTCTCGTCCAAAGTCTCTTCTTTTCCCTCCGTCTCCGGACTGTCTGGGCTGTCGACGTTGGGGCTCTCCTTGGGAGGCCGCAGCGGCTCCGTGGCCGGTGGCCTCAGCTTGCCCTTCTCATCCACCCACTGCACCTCGCAGGTTTGCCTCTGCTCGTCCGCCTTGGCGATGACACCCAGGCGCCGGCCCCGGTAATCCTTGGCCCGGCGCAGGCAGCAGAGAAACCGGGAGCAGCAGCCCAGGTCCTGCGGCTCGTGCAGAAACTGCTCCTCCTTGCGCAACACATCCACCCCCGGGTGCGCAGCCTGAGGCACCAGGTCTGGGCTCAGCTGGTTCTCAAAGTGCTGCCGCAAGAGCTCCTCGTAGCGGCCGTGATCCTTTTTCAGCCGCCGCGGCAGGTGGCTCACGTAGAGCGAGAAGGCGTCCGGCGTCACCGTGGTCATGGCATCCGCCTCCACCGCCGCCGGCAGCGCCTTGCGCTCGAACCAAATGGCCAGGATCCCCACCGCAGCCACGGCCACGGCGTCCAGGGTCCCCACGCACCAGCTGACGTTTGCTGGGTCCAGCTCCACCCAGGACACGGAGACCGTGCCATTGGCAGACAGGAAGTTCCCGATGCTGCTGAGGGCAAAGAAGCCGTTGCCGACGCCCACGTCCACATCCTCCAGGCCCTGGCCAGTGAGGTTCAGCACCAGGAAGGGCAAAGTGAGCACAGCAGCGGCCGTCAGAGTCATACTCAGGTTGATGGTGAGCCGGAAGTACAGTGAGATGCCAGTGCCGTACTCTTCCAGATCCTAACAGGAACTGAAAACGCCCTCGGGCACCTCACCCCGAAAATGTGTAGCGGGGGAAATCCAATTGAACACGTCGAGCCGTCCTCCGTGGTGGTGGACCACACGGGCCATAGGTCCCCCTCCTTGTTCCGGCACCGCTCCTGCCTGAGATGCGCATGCGCCGCGATCAGCAGCTCCTCCTGCGAATGCATTCGACACCATGTGTTCAACGTTTGGCTTCTCATCTATGACTGGCGAATGTGCGGTTTCCCTTGAATATGTCAGCAGACGTGCCATGACTTACCTTGAAAACGGTGGCGCCTCCCGCATCTCCGAGCTCTTCTCAGCTCTCAGTACCAACTGCCGGTCGTTGGCTTGCGCCAAGTCTCTCTTCAGGTCAAGGGTGCTCTTGGCCACCTAGCACGATCGCTTTGCCCCGTGGGCTCAAACACAAACCTTCCCTCAGCTCTGTGGGATGCAGTTGGAACCGGCCTTATCCAGGCTAATTTGGGCGGTATGCACTCTCTCCATCAGCTCGTCAATCTCCTAGCAGCTCATTGTGTGCGTATGCAACTCGCAGCTGCATAGGCACACAATATGTCTTGCATCTTGCCCTTTACGTAGCATCGCCATCATGCTCGTCCGATGTCCTCAGGGCCTTTTCACCTGATAAGTATCCCCCACTAGTGGCTCCATGGGAATGATTGGCCTGGGCTTCAGCTCCTGCTTGGCTGCCTGCATGTCCGGCATCTCGGAGGCGCTCAGCGCTTGGTCCCGGAAGTCGCACTGGCACAGCTCAGGGACTTCGACTTTAGCGTTGAACATCCCGAACCCAAGCCTCCAAGCCTGGCCCAAGTAACTTTCCAGAGTCAATCCGTGTTAAAGTGGCCAGGTTTGACTCGCAGCTCTGGCCTCCATGTCCCAAACCAGCCGCTGCACCTCTGCGATGGTCCTCTCCGAGTCCTGTCACGGACCAGTTGAACACCCCTCCTCTTGCACCTAACCACGTTTCAACATGTTTAAGCGTCTTTGAGGTGTCGGGCTTGGTGCTGCAAACAGCTTCCCCACCCCGCACCCCGAACCCCGAGCTGTGACAACCCTCCCGCCTCATCCTTGGAGGTCGGCTCCTTGTTCAGGAGGAGGAGCGTCTCGGAGTCCTCTCGCGGCGCTTGGCGCAGAGCGGTCATCGGCTTGGCTGGACCAACCGGAGACTCAGTCAATGAGTCAATTGCTCTGGGATTCGCGGGATTGAGCACGAATCACAAACAATATTCCACGAGCTACATGGCAGATGTGCGCTCCAGAGTTGCTCAAAGACCCGAAACCTTGCAGGGTGGAATCGACTGCAAGCTCCGGCTTGGACCGCTCCAGGTCGGGTAGGGCAACCGTGTTTGACCCGCCCACAAACTCGGTTGCCCTCTCCGGCTTCTTTCATTAACTCGCGTGCTTAGCTTAACTCGTGGGCTTCCGTGTCCCTTGAGCCGGGATCCGCCGGGATCCATCCTGCCTCGGCAACGGCCTCATGTTCCATGCACGGGCCCGCTCCCGCAATCGCGCGAGCGGCCCGCGGATCGCCGGCGATTCGGCCGAGTTGGATTCCGGCCAGAATGCCAAGAACGAGTTTGGTTTGGGTCTGATGCCCATCGCAAAATGACCCGGGATGCCCCTTTGCCCCGCCCCCTGGAAAAGCCCGGCATGCCCCTTTGCATGTGAGCAAGCGTGTTGCATGTGGCTCCAACGGGTTATAAATTCTATCCGGAGACAATATGGCTGCAGAGCTAAGCCAAAGTGATGCGGTCCAAGAAAATGTTTTCTGTGCTGCTGGAAGCGAAGCTTCCCAAGAGGGATTGAATCCAAGTTTCCCGCCTACCAGGGAGAAGCCCAAGTCAGCCATCACCCCGCGCGCAACCCGTTTCTTGTCGGGCCCCGCCCGTGGCGTTGAGACGCGCCCGCGCAGCGCGCGCGGCGGGGTCATCGCGGGCCCGGGTCATGGCGCGCTTCTCGAAGTCCTACGAACGACTGTCCGAGGGTGACGCGGGAGCGGTATATGGCGTCCATTCCACCTCGAATCATTTCTACGGATCCTGGTTACTGTCTCCTAGCTCATGCCTCTGACTCCTTGATCGGGGCAAACATTTCTTTCTCAGGGTAACTCGAGCCTCGGCCAGCTTGCCCACAAGGTGATGGCAAACCAAGAAAGGGGTGAACGGCCTGCTAGTGGAAGCTACCAATCGGCACAGAGTGGCTTGAAACCAACACCCAAAGAGTAAATTGCAGTTTGAACCCTCACGTTGCATCGTTGCATCATGTCACGCAAACTTGCATGCTGCTCCCATTTCACTTGGGGAGCTTGGAGTAAGCTCAAGCCCAGCACACTGTGGGCTGTCGGAGTCTGGCCTCGACGTCCGCGCCCCAAGCCTCCGAGCCAGCCCAGAAGTTGAGGAAGCGCCGAGCCCAAGGAACCTGGGCGAGGACAGTTGGGTTGTCTACAAAGGGGGGCCCAGCACCTTCTGAGTGCACCAGTGTTTGTCAAGCGATGGGATTCAGCTGTGGCTGAAATTGCTGACAAGTTCTGGGCCAAGCCTCAGTCGCCCGTTCCCCACTCACCTCCCAGGCTCCCAGGCTCCCAGGGCTCGAGGAATGCATTGGACAGGTGGCTCCCAGCGCCCCCACCGCCCCAAAACCATCCACCCAACCGATGCCGTCCTTTCCGAGTCACCGCCTTCAAGTTCAGGGCGAAGTGCAAGCCCAGGATCTTACCTCAACTCTTCCGGCCCCGACGTGTGATGCAATCGGTGTGGTGAAAGCCAGGAGAGGCCCACAAGAGTGCTTCCTGCTTCGGCGCTCCCTGAACCGCTTCCAAGGCTCTGCCGCATTTGATGCCCATTTGGTTCCACACCTCGAACGAACGAACATTACCGCGCTATGAGTTATGAGCTCTCCGGCCCGGGAAAGAAACTGCAAGACCAAGAAAGGACATGGGACCATACCCCTATCTAGGCCCCTCTAGCCAAGAGCAGCTCGAATGAATGTCCAGTCAGGCTGCCGTGGTGAAGTGCGCCTGATACCTCAATAGGGCAAACGTTGCCAGCGCGATAAATGCACTGCCAGTTTGAAACATGCGCAGCCACTCGCGGTGTCGTATCGATGGGACTTCATACTCCTGCATGTATCTTCAGCTGGCTGCCACTTTGAGACTATGTCAAGCCTGCCAAGCTGCAAAGTACGATTCTCCACAGCCGAGGCATCGTTCCTGGGGCAAGGCAGTCCAACGTTGCCAAGGTGTGGAGAGGCATCCTCTTCAATTTACTAGACTCACTCTCAGAAGCTTTGCAAGTGTTTCCGAACCTGGTAAGCAGGCGCTAGGAGAGCAACTGATGTCTGGCAATCCGCCTTCAATGTTAGCTGATTCTGCCCGTGCCGGGGCTCTCTGCCGCGAGGTGCTGCGCCCAAATGAAGGCCGCCTTGTCCGCGGGCATCTCGCCTTGCGCGACGCAAGTGCAAGGAGCCCATGCCTTTGTTCGACCCAAAGGGTGCCTTGGCTGCAGGTGCTGCTTCCCATGTGCCGCTCAGCGGCCGAGGAAGGCGGCAGTCAGAAAGCTCTCGCTGAAACGCGGGCAGTGCACCTCAGCAAGCGGAGACAAAACATGGAGGCTCTAAGCTGCAGGGAAAAGGCACAGGAACCGCACACAGGCCAAGAAATCTCGGCTGAACATGCCCAGCACGTGAATCAACATATCAGCAGCTCAAAGGTCATTGTTGCAGCCCAGCTGAAGCCATGCAAACCCATCTCACCTCAAGCCTAGGCACGCGAAGCTGTGTCCAGTCTTGAACTCCGGGGTAGACTCGTTCTCGCCACACATCCGGGCTCTGCAGCCACAACTTAGACAAATGCAGCCGCTCGTTGGCGCGCGCTACGTGTCGGGTGAGCGAGCGCCGAATGGGGTGCATGAGCATCAATCATCACATCACCCATTTCGATCGTCCTCCTTTTCGCAAAATGACCCAATGAAGGGTGTTCTAAGCCTCTTGTCCAATGGGTGCCAAAAAGAGAAGGCAGAAACTTCACCCACCCGATCGCCAGGCGGCATCCCGCATGCCTCCCCCGCTGCCCTGCAGGCCGCCGAACTCGCGGGGCTCGATCTGACCAAATGCGTCGGACGTTTGCAGCAGCATGACGCATCTCGAGGGAAGCTGAAAAATAGAACCCACATCGAAGAAATCGCTATCCTCGGTCCTCAGAACCTTCCGGTTCTCCCCGATTCGCGCTCTGGGGTCTGGCCAGTCTACCTGTTTTGCCGAAGCACTGCCCAGTTCGCGTCGAAGTTGTGCCACACCACCGCCTCATTGGCCAGGGCGCCTGAGAGTGACGCCATCCCCGAACTCTCGTGATATGTCCGAGGCAAGAGATGCATCTTTAAATGAATAGACACACAAACACAAACACAGAAGCAGGCAGACAAGACACACACACACACACACTTGCGCTTTGCTTTTGAGTGCCCAACGTTGGCTCAACCCAAAAGGCGGATCAAGCCCTGGTTTGGAAACCTACTGTTGTTGTTTGGTCAGTGCTTCCTCTTGGTTTCAAACGCTGGCTTTCCAAAGGGGCACCGCAAAGTTGTCTTTTCAAAGTGGAGACATTTTGGGATATGTTCGAAGAGAAGCTGTTTAGGGAACCAATCCATGTCGAAACGGGCTTTGGGAAAGCAACGGCAAGCTGGAGCCATCAAGGCGCCGGAGATCCAGCCCTCGCCCAGGTCGCACATGCTTGGGCCCACCTCCCGGACCTTGGCGTGGACCGGTACCGGCCGATGCCGCGTGCTCGACTTTTTCTTTAATTATTATTTTTTCCGGATCGAGGGCTCTGACAATCCGACACTTGGGAAGGACAAGTCCCAGTCGCCTTTGCAGCTGCTAAATGGAAATGGACATCAAAGCTGAAGAGTTTGATGTTCGCTATGGGTTCGGCTTGGTCCCAAGTCTCAAGCGTCACCCGAGCACTTTGGGCTCCCACGAAGCTTAGATGTGTGTCTTTGCCCGAGAATTCCGTTTAGTTGGCGTCATCTTGACCCTAAATTTGCTTCAAGTGTTTACCATGTGTAACCAAAAAGTGTAGGGTTCCCAGAACAAACTTAGCTGCTCATAGTCTCTCTCGATTGGGCCGTTTGCTTTGGTTTTCAGATCAAAGACAAGTCACTGGAGCGATTCAAAGCACCTGTCGACCTTCTGTGCAATCTGGACACTGAAGATGCAACAGAAGAAGTCACCATTGTGTCTGATACGATGTGTCCACTTCCATGATGTGTTTGCAAAGCCTGACCCTAAGCATGAGCTACCTGAGAAGCTTGACAATGGTGTGAGAGCTCTTAGGCCTGAAACAGCATTGCTTGATAGCTCAAAGTAGATATGATCCACAAAAGCGCCAGACACACCCCTCTTCTTGCATCTCTTTGCCCGGGAGTGGGGAATTGAGCTTGGACCCGGATCAACGCCGCTTCGACCCGTGGACGCGCAAAGGCGCCTGTTGCTTCACGAAGCGCCGGAGGAGATCCGTCCATCCCACCCGGGCCATCCGATCCACGTCGAGGACCTGGAGGAAGGAGCTTGCGGGGGGGGGGGCGAGAGGAAGGTGTATTGGTATGCTGCACAAAACTCAGCTGAAGCTTGACACTGGATCCAAAGCGCCTGCACTGGGATGGAGCCGCCGAGAGGGCCGCCAGCCACCTCCCAAATCGCGAGGTGAGAAAGCCACAAGACCAGATCCCGAGATTTAGTCTAATCGCCCCGCGAGTATCGCCTGGGTGCTGGTGAAGTGCCTCCGGTGGCGCAGCATCAGCGCGGGGTCCTCCAGGAAGACCTCGCGGGGAATTCGTGTGCGGCCGTGAGCGCGTGGCAGCAGGGAGCGAACGGCCAAGGCGCGTAGTCCCCGGCGTCCACGTAGATCCTGAGAAATACCCAAGTTCATTTCGCATGCCCCAAAAGGGGCATCGCCCCTTTGCAGTTTTTTTGCAGTCCGAGTGGCAAGCGCTTGAAGTTGCGCACCTTGAAGACCTGAAATCTGAAAGAGGTTTGATGTCCCCTCATGTCCCCTCCCCTGGTGCGACCTCCCGGCCTCGTGGGGCAGCAGCCGCAGCCAGCCACTGTCCCCGAACTTCCGGCTGCGGCCCAGGCAGTCCTTGGGGCAAGGCTCGGGTCCGCAAGCCCTGCAAGCCCTGCGTCCAACGTGTCTTCCTCCCCCCGCCCCCGGAATTCGCGGCAGTGGAATTCGGCAACTCCCATTTTTCGGCAGAATGGATGAGATGGAACGTCCTGAGGAAGAAGCCCGCTGAGGAGCTGGAAGAAGGGCTGCAGGTCGCTGTGCACCTGTGGCAAGCCGCTGAGACTGAACCAAAGATGGATATCGCTGCGCAACGCTCCATAGATGTCTTGCGCCAGACGATGACCTGCACTTCAGGCAAGCTGGCAGAGTATCGGGCATCGGCCTCCGAAATCAAGAACCAGAACAAGAAATTCAGCGTTGCAAAGCGGACTATGTTGACTCCACAAATGGATGCTGCATTCAAGCCCAGCATTGATAGAACATTTAACACATATAGAACACACAGAAAATCTAGACATGTATGTTGTTTGCTGCTTCCCGGCCAGGCCGTGTCGAGCCTCGTAGGTCCCCCGCCGCGCCAGGCGCGGCTCCAGGCGCGCCCAGGCGGCGCGCACCGCCGCCACGCCCTCCCCGTCCGCGAAGAGGTGGAAGTGCAGCGGCCGGCGCCTCACGCGAAGGACGAAGGGTCTGAACAAGGATTCTGGAGTACACCATTTGCAAACTCCTTTTCTTGCTTCCGGGGCACACCATTTGTGAGAAATCCAATCCGAGAATTCCTGTCAAGGCTCTGTGAAATCCCAGAAACTCCCCGACCTTTCCACGCGTTGCCGAAAAAGAGCGCAGCTTCGCTCCATGCCCCGCCTGGCGAAGAACAGGGCGGAGCGCACCGTGGCCATGGCCTTGGCAGCGAAGACGGGCAAGCCCACGGAGGCCACCAGCGCCTCAGAAACCAGTGGGCAGGGGAAACGATGCAAGGAAGAATGGGCACAACTGGATGAGATTGCTGAGAAGAATCAGCTGGAGAGTTGAGCTCAGAGTCGGCAACATACGAAACATGTTGGTGGGGGAGGGGTTGGGGGGGTTGGGCGCACAAGCATGCCCTGAAGAGGTTTCAAAGCCAGCAATTGGCACTCACCTACCACTCGCCCGTCCGAACTGCCGAGATCCGGCCGATGTTCGGCACATGCCCAGCTGCAATGTGGACCGGTGGCCCACGCGGCCGCCAGGGGCGCCGCAATTCCTGGCGAGATGCCCACGCCAAGAATCGCCGTTTCCAAAGCATCCGGCCAACGCCTGGGTGGTCTGGGTCCTTCTGACATTCCCACGCCATGGCGGGCTTCGATGGACTTAAGAACGCCAAGCAAGTACAAACAATCTCAAGCCATCCTTGCCAAGACGCTTCCAAAATATGTCCACTTCCTTTCCTTTCCAAGACGCGGTGCAAAAACCGTTTCAACAACGTCGAATCTGGTGAGTTCCTCCAGGAACCGCAGCTGCGAGAGCTCCCGGATGGTCAGGTGCAGCTGCTTCACCAGCAGGCTCTGGGATGGAACGGGGAAAGGGCAGCGGCAAACGAGAAAATGGAAAGAAAGGGGGCAAAAAGAGAATAAACTGCAAGTTAAAACCTTTTAACACTGGCAGCCACCTTGAAAGATCATCCACCGCAAAGCATGATTGTGGATTGGCACAGCTCCGTGCCGGAATCAGGAGGATAGCGGAGCTGAATGCTCTCTCTGGGAACTGCAACTCTCCCTGCCCCGTGGAACCTGAAGTCGCTTGGTTCTTCTCGGCCCGAAACAACTCTGTGGCGTGTGGCCATTCCAAAAACGCAATGTGCTTTCGGAATCTCTCCTGCAGCTACTTAGATACTCTCCAACTATGTTGGGTCTATCGATTGTTTGCAGCTGACGTGTGAAGTTGTGCAGGGATTCTGAATTCTCTCACTAAGTGTTGCTCGTTTCATCTGTGGCTGGCTCACCGGTCCAATTTGCCGTACCCATGTTGCGATGTTGACGCGCTCCCCTGCTCCTAACAGGCACCGCGGTGACTTGTTTTCGAGTCGCGTGCATCTTGTTGAAGAACTCGATGTTTCCCAGGATGTTGGGGCCAGAGCCGAAGTACAAACCCAACATCTCCTGAAGTCTCCAATGGAGGACCTCAGTTCAATACAGGTGATGAAGAAAAAAAACAGCCAACCAAGCCTGGATTGTGGTATCCCGATTGACATGCTATCCCTCACTCTTACTTGACCTGGTCAGACTGGTTTGAAGTTTTCTCACTTGCCCGCCTCAGGGTGATGTGCAATGACAGCAGCGATGGTGTCCACATGCTTTCCTGTAGGAAAGCACGGAAGCTCTTCAACAGAAACGCATATATCTTCTATGGCCCAGCGTGTTTGTCGGCCAGGCACTGATTCCAGTCTAAGCTCAGAATTTCAAGCTCGCACTGCATCCCTCAACCCTTCCAAGGTTTGCATCCTCGGAATACATGATACTCAGCGAATAGGCAGCCCGGCGCCGGATTGCCAATCAGGAAAGAATGCTATGGCCAAAGATCCAAAACAGAAAGTCCAAGCTCATCCACCTAGATGGCGCGCGGTGAAAGAAACCATAGCGCCCCCAAGGACGAGGTGCCACCTCGCTCATGGCCAGCCCGGCATGCCACAGGTCCACCGGCTCCGCACGCCAGCGGTGCGGTCGCGCCAGCCAGCGCCGCAGGTGCTCTGGGTCGCCCACCTCACATGGCCCAACTGCAATGGTGCTGAGAATGAAAAAATCAAACCCTGGGAAAGCTGGTTCTCGAGTCGCCTCGCATGTGTTCCTGCATTACTGCAAAAAGTTGTCCTTACACCTGTCATGTGCAAATGGTGAATCGAGGTGTTGCTTTCTTGGAATCCCACAAAGGAATCAAGCGATTCTGTTTCACCAAAGACAGCCAGAAGCATAGACAGCGTTCGATTCCTTGTTCCCCAAGAAGACAAGTTGGCAGCATTCATGTCCTTCCCAAACCAAATGGCCATCTGCCCATCCGCCCATCGCCTCCATGCGTGCCACCTCCTCCACGAAGTGAAGCTCACAGTCGCCGCCGAGGCGTCGGAAGCAGTCCACCGCCAAAGCCGCCTAGACGGGCGAAGCCGCATTTGCTACATTTATGTCTACCCAAGCCAAAACATCCTCTGCAGTCTGCATTGGTTCAAGATATGGCAACCTAAAATGCGTAAGCTACATTGAGTCACCATTGAGGACTCATTCCTGTAGGTTTAATACCAAAAGCATAGGGGTACATTGTATCTTTCACCTTTTCGTTTCCCCCCCACTTTGATCGACGCATGCCTTGGTGGTCACCGCCGCCTGCACCTCCCACAGCCGCTCGTGGTTCCCGCGCGCAGAAACGCTCTCCGGCGTGGAGCAGCAGAACTCCGCCGCGGCCTCGCTGACTCGCACTCGCTGACCGCTTTGAGGTTCGGTGAGCTACGCAAGAAGCCGGAGACTCTACAGGAAGCTTCCTGAACAAGGATGGTTCAACTTCCAAGAGTGGAATCCAATGGAAACCGGTAGAATTCCGGTAGAACTAGTAGTACAATTCGTGGTTCATCGGCCAGTCTCCTGTAGAACTTCCTGATGGATTTGTTGGTTCTAACTCAGCTCGTAGACCAATCCCAATCCCTCAGTCCCTAAGGCCGGCAATGAGCGCACAAGAACTTCGGCAGTTTACGAATTTAGGAGCGATCCCGAACTCTTCTGGATCGCATGCTCTGGAACGGAAGAACCATGGAGTGCAAGATGCCGGCACCTCGTTTGCAGATGTTTTCTGGAACGCCAGTCCAAAATGGGGCCACCAGTTTTCAGCCCAAACATTACACCTTTGAGAGGCATGCAGCTTGAGCTGGCCATACTGTGGAATATTTGATCCATTCCAAAAATAATAATAACAATACTAATAATAACAATAATAACAATAAGAAGAATAAGAAGAATAAGAAGAAGAAGAAGAAGAAGAAGAACAATATAACAATCATAGTCATCGTAAAACACTGGTGCAAACAAATCGAGTGCTGACACCTGACCCGCCTGCTCCAAAGAGCCCCAGGTCTCGAAGCACCCATCTCCAGAGACGACGCCTCGGCGCCAAGCACTCCGGACATTTACGAGAAAACTGGACAGAAAATGACGGAAATTCTAAGAGTTGATTCCGATTCCATTCTTTCCAACCTTCGCTCTTTGCTGAAAACCGGCCGTTTCCCCTAGGTGTTTGGAGGTTTTCTAGAAAGAAGGATCCCTGGAAAAGAGTGGAAAGGTAGCACTAGAGAAATGGAAAGAAACTCAAATTCCACGAAAGGGGATGACATGAGGTTGGCCGGCCAGAACCGCCAATTTATGATCTTTGGGCTGTCCCAGAAGGTCCCTGTACGCTAAGGGCGGGCACAGCTCACTCTGCAGCTTGGCCGCAACAGGACTCGAAGGTGGTGCCATCCTGAGCCAACCAAATGTGCCTCACCCCCACAGCGTTTTGAGCCGGGGCACCCCCCAGCACATGTGGCGGCCCTGGTACATGGCGCCATCCAAACCCCAGGGGTCGCGTGGTGAACGGACGTCTATCAACTTGGGAGACCAAAGCCATCGTGTGAGGGCCGGGACCTCAGGTCGATCTGTTTCGCCCTTTGACCTGTTCGACTCGCCATGTTTGAACCAGACGCTCGCGGTAGTGCCGCACATCCGCGCAGCAAGAAACATGACAAAGCACACCCCTGTGCCGTTTCAGGCCAGGCTGAAGCGCGCAACCCTAGGCTTCATGCAAAATGTGTCGTGCCAAACATGGGCTGAGTTGAACGCAAGCAGCACGCTGTGGCCAAACGCTGTTTGAGTCAGAGTAACAATCGACGCTGCTACTCAATCACTATACCCAATGTCTACTCAACGTCCAAGGCAAAGAATCAAAAAGGCCGGAAAACTTTCTGCACCAACTTCAAGGGAATTCTTTCCCTACCCAGCTTGCGTTGCTTGGCGGATGTTTGGTCGGCTCCTTCGCAGGGTCCCGGGCGGCAAGGACTGCAGGCGGCTCTGCAGCGAGTCCAGCGCTTGGGCGGGGTCCCGGCCGCTGGGGATCTGCGAGGGCTGGACACGTTTGAACCAGAAACGGAGATCACGATTCCTCTGATTGCCATGATTTGAATGATGTGACATTTGGAGACTTGTGTGACAAATGCCCCTTGGAATCATTTGATACAGTCATGGAATACCAAGTGCTGGATAGTCACATAGTCCAGGATATATTGCCCTCCAAAGTTCTCAGCAGCCCCAGCCTTCATCCATTTCACGTCCGAAGGTCCCCCAAAGATTGGGCGTCCCGTCTGTAGATAAAGTGCAACTGTCGAACAGCACCGCCGGGATCTATGCTTATGTGTCCCCTTCGAACATCACTTCAGAAAAAAAAAATGTCGATCAAAGGCTTGTACCGCCTGACATGTATAAGACCTAAGGACCCCTGAGCCGCGCAAACCGTTTGGCCCTTTTCTCCGCGTTGCCGAGATTCGCGATCGGCCATCTGGAGGTCTTCCGAGTCCTCAAGGCGGAAAAGCTTCCCGACGGCTTCCAGCAGCAGTTTGGGGACTTTGGGCGGAGGATTTATATGTCGCATGGCCAAATCCTGGGTTAGCATCAACCCATCAACTCATCAACTCAACTCAACTCAAACTATCGGAACGCTCCATGTGTGGTGTCCCGCCTGCACGCAGGTCGCGGCGCTCAACAGCTCCTGGGGTCCATGGCCCACAATCTAGTTGGCAACTGTTCACGTCTTACCAATCTTTGCAAAGCGGGAAAGCCCTGGCAACATGTTCTTTAGGGTTGTTTGCTCATTCCAAAAATGGAAAGAAAAGACAGACCCGGGATCTGAAGCTCATTGAGTTCCAACCCCGCACTGGGCGCGTCGGCGAGGATGCCTGTTTGCGCCAGTCGTCTTCTGCCGTGGGCGACCGACATGGTCTGAGGATGCCCAATAGAGCGAATTGGTACCAAGTGCCTCTGCCCAAGCGACTCAGCGCAAGCGGTGCACAAAAGCAAGTGCTGTTTCGTGGCGGTTAAGTGCAGTGACATCGTGCCAGAAAACAGAATAGGCGGAACACCATGGTACACCAATAAACAGTCATTCCATGTTTTGTCTATTGCCAGAGTCTTTGTAGCTGCCCGATTCGCTGCAAGATCCGCGCGCGCAAACAGTATATGAGCTACGGTCAAGATATGCAGCCCGTAAGGTGGGAAAGTAGCTCTCGATGTCCGTCCCTCCCAAAGACTGGAGATTTGGACAAAACATATCAGTCCAAGCTGGACGATTGGCAAGCCTAGCGGCCTAGCGGCTTAGCGGAACTGGAGCAGGCCCAGCTGAGGCAAGGTCACTTGAATTGCTCTCCTAAATTGCAACGCCTGTCTCGTTTTCCCGCAAAACATATCAGAAATGATACGAGGATTGTCGTGACGCTTTGAAGGAATGGGATGCTTGTAGCCTGCTCCAACAAGCATCAAGTTGGGCAAAACAAGAGCAGGTAAGCCAAAAAAAGCCAGATTGCAGGGCAAGTGATCACTCTGCAACACATGGGAGCAAGAGAAAAGACACGCCTGCAGTCTTATGACTTATGGTCCTTCTTTCAACCCCCTGAAGAGTCCAAGTAGCTGAGCAACACTGCCTAGACATGCACTCCCAAATGCGTGTCATCTTTGTTTGGATGCTGCTTTCAACGAGTCCTGCAATACATTTTGCCTTGGAAAGAGAGCGGTCTTTGCTCGATTCCAAACTCTTCCCAGGCGAGCAAATCAACTGACCTTGCTAGCGCTGCCTAGAAACTCACTCAAACGGTTTCTACAGGCAGGCGAAAATCTGGACATGCACCGATCTGTGGCCGGCTTGAACATCCCAACGTCAGCAGGTCGGCCGCTGCCTGCTAAATCCTGAATGATTTTTTGGCAGCCAATCAGATCATCAATTAAGGTCTATCGGAATGCTGCCCCTAGAGGCTCGTGTGCCAACGCTTGTGCGGGCCACTGCATCTTTCAGGTAGCGTCCGTCGGGACAATAAGTGTTGTTACCTGTCCCGCACCGGTTTCGTCTGAGAGGCAAGTGCCTCTTTTGTCAGGCAGCGTGGGGGCGTCCAGTTCAGTCAGAGTTCAACAAAACCCAGCAAACATGATAAACAAATACCCTCAGCATCAATAACCATACCTTCCACGCTTCGCCCATTGCCTCTTAGTCGCTGTCGCTGCCCTCAAAATGCTGCAGCCGTAGTGGACATGGAGAAATTAGTGACTATGTCTGGTTGATGTGGATCATACCTATCAGGACAAACTAGAAAGTCCGGGGCCACTTCCTCACAACGCAGGGTGCTATACGGTGCAAGCCATGATATAGCAAAGGTTTTGCTTCGGGCCTGAGCCCTTTGAATGGCCGCACAATCGTTATCCAGCCAATCGACGCTCTGCCGTACGTAGGCTGGTGGAACGTTTCCTACGAGTCCTGTCATACATTTTGCTTTGGATGGCTCGACTCCAAATCCTTCCCAGGCTTCTGCCTAGAAACCTGGGGGTGGGCCTCAAAAAGTGACTCCGTGGCGAGCGGATGTATTGAAAGGGTTTTTATAACCAGGCTGAAATCTGGACATGCGCCGATACGTGACCGGCTTACGCAGCAGGGTCAACTTCAGGCCTAGCTGCTGTGACCGCCGTTATGAAAGATTCTATGCTTTGCTAAATGCCAAGACGCGGATTTCCGCGCATCTGGAATTCATCGCTGGGCTGCGGCCGTTGCTCAATGCCTACCCTGGATCAAGCCTGGCATTGGCTCCTAAATGGCCGACGCCGCATGGGGACAGTCGCAAGTGGCATCCATACAAAACATCGTAAACTTCACGGCTACGATTTGAGACCCACGGCGTCGGCGCGTCCGGCGCATCGGTGCTATCCCTGACTTCCCAGTCACTGTGTGGCAGAATGTTGGGCCAGGGCAAACTCTTCCCGCAGGGAGGTCATAGCCTCCTCGAGAGCCAACAGACCACAAAGAGCATAGCAAACAGCCAAAGGCTAGCCTCTCCATGTTGCGCAGGAGAAAATGTAGTTTTATCGCATTTGGCCTCTCCCTAGATCCCTTTGAATACAGCGCAAACACTGTTTAAGAAAACGCTGGATAAGAAATTGAGAGGCTGGAGCCGGAGTTTCAACCAGTATGTTGCATTACCGGGGTCGTGACTACCTTAAGAATTTGAGGGTCCCTCGATGTAACTCGTCTCCACGCCCCAAATTCTTAACTGCCCCCATTCTTTGTCTGGCTGGAACCTGTAGAAAAATGCATCCTCATTTTCTCAGAATCTAAAAAGCCCTCAAATTCTTAAAACCTGATTTTCTTGGAAACCCTCATGTTATTAGAAACCCGCAAATTCCAGGAACCCTCTTTTGCTTGCCTCTTCCTGTCCTCTTCCCGACCTCTTCCCGTGCAGGGAAGAGGACGGGAAGAGGCCGGGAAGAGGCCGGGAAGATGACGGGCGGGAATCTTTGATGATAACAGTGGTGCAAACCTCGATTTGCTCCGCTATTTTTGGTGTAAAGTTGTTCCTGCTCCATTGCCGTTTGGCCCTGCCTTCATTGACGAGATCAGTTCGCGACTTCAACTTCTAGATGGCAGCGCTGCGTTTGCTCTCCTGAGACTTGCTTTCGTGCACCTTCCTCACGTTTGGTTGGCCTTCTCGCATGTTTTTTGTGGTACCGCGGCGTCACAGCTTCCGCCGCTGTGCGGTGACAGCACAGGGTGGCCCTTTTGCTGCAACCTAGAAAGGGCCTTTTCTTGCCTTGGTCTCCTGGTCCGGGCTCCCTTTTTTGCTTGCTCGGTTGCTGATCTGCTGCTTGGTTTTGCGTTGTTTGCTGCCCCCACCCCCCCACCCCCCGGCGCCTTTGCCTTGTTTGGTTTGGTGCTTTCGTTGGGCCCTCTTGTTCTGAAGCGGATGGGAAGAGGCAAGAAAAAGAGGATTCCGAAGAACTTGAGGGTTTCTAAAAAATTGAGGTTTCCAACAATTTGAGAGTTCCCAAGAAATGTTGAGCGTTCCTAACAAAATGAGGGTTCCTAAAAAAAAACCGAGGATCCAAAAAAAATGAAAAAGTGGGTTCCTAAAAAATTCAGAGGTTCCTAAGAACATTGAGGTTTCTAAACACTTGAGGCTTCCTAAGAATTCGAGGCTTCCTGAGACTTCGAGGCTCCCTAACAAAATTTGGGGTTGCTTGGAAGAGGCTTGTCTGCTAGATCGTGTCTCTGAATGCAAGAAACGAACCCTCTGCTTGACCCAAACCCTGCAGGAGTCGTGACTGGGATCCTGCGCCAGCACCGACTTCCACGTGGAAATTGAAGTTGAGAAACTAAGGGGCTGGAGCCGGGGTTTCAACCATTTTGTTGCATTATGCGAATCGTGACTAGAAGTTGAGGGTAAGTTGAGCCTCCTTGAGTCTGATGACCTTTGCTTGAACCTTTCACCTGGCCTGCGCCAGACCAGACCACCCTAGAACCCGAAACCTCCGCAACCCTCCCACCCGACCACCCTGAACCTCCGAAACCTCGCTTGCACCTTACACAAGACCTACACCAGCCCACTCCCGGAAACCTCTGTTGAGCCTTACACCTCGCCCCTGGAACCTTCATACTGTACACCTGCTCCAGGCCCAGGAACGGAACCTTCCGTGAACCTTGCTCGAACCTGACTCCAGAGCTCTGAACCACCCCCAAACCTTTTCTGGGCTGGCCCCTTAGCTTTCAGCTGTTGGGGAGGGGGAAAACATCAAGCCGCCTTGTGGAACCGCTGCAATCACGCGTTTCCTCCTTCATTGCAACGCGGAAACGCGGGCTCCTGCAAGACTTGTGGCAGCGGTCCTTTCCAGCGCCTTGAGGTGATCAATCCGATGAGGCAGGGGACGCTCATGCGCCGTAGTGTCTTCTCCAGCCTGGAATGGCCGTTGCCATCCACTTGTGCCATGCGCCGTGTTTCTATCCAAGTCCGATGTTTCAAAGGCTTGGTCAAGCTGGACGCATTGATATCCCACAAACTGGCTTGCCTTTCCCAGCCTCTTTAGGTCCTCAACCGACGATGCCCTGCATACGCGCCGCAGGGCAAGCTCGCGCTGAAGCAAATCGACCAAAGACTTGGCCTGGTGAAGCTCCGTCCTATCAGGGATGTGGCTTCGTTCATGCTGGCTCCCCTTCTCTTCCACGTGAATTCCAAAAACAGTTTCTGTGGGTCGCTGTGTTTGGGTCAAAATCCCACTTCGGCCGAGGCTCCCGTCAGTCATCCTGCGGAGATGCGGAATGATCACGGCCAGCAACTCGGCCTCGCACATGGCATGCACCACACGGCGATTTATCTTGTCAAGGTTGTCTCGGCGGTAGTGCGGCATGTGGCAATAGCCGCAAGCGCTGCCCAAGCGACAGGCCCCCCTTGCCCAGTAGACGCACGGGCGCCGGCACACCTCAGGTGCCCGCATTCGATCAGGGAAAGCCTGAACACATTCCATTCCCTATTCCCTGATGGAAACGCCCACGTGAAAACATGGATCTA